CGTGAAGAGGACACTCATCACCATCAACGCCCAGAAAGCAGCAGGTCCGGACAACATCCCTGGTAGTGTGCTGAAAGACTGCGCAGAGGAGCTGAAGAATGCCTTCACAGACATCTTTAACACCTCCCTGAGGCAAGCCATTGTCCCATCATGTTTCAAGACTGCCACCATCATACCTGTACCAAAGAAACCATCCCCAGCTTGTTTCAATGACTACCGCCCCGTGGCACTGACACCCATTATTATGAAGTGCTTTGAACGACTAGTCATGTCACACATCAAATCCACCCTACCCCCCACTCTGGACCCATACCAGTTCGCATACAGAGCAAAACTATCTATAGAGGATGCAATCTGCTCTGCCCTCCACCCAGCCCTAACTCATCTGGACAAGAAAGACATATGTGAGAATGCTGTTCATAGACTTTAGCTCAGCATTCAACACAATAATACCACAACAACTCATCTGTAAACTGGACAGACTGGGCCTCAGCACCTCCCTTTGCAACTGGCTGCTGGATTTCCTCAGCCAGAGGCCACAAGTGGTGCGTGTGGGCAACAAGGTCTCAAACAGCATCACCCTGAGCACGGGGGCTCCACAAGGCTGTGTGCTGAGTCCTCTGCTCTTTACCCTGCTGACACATGACTGCGCACCAACCTACAGCTCCAACCACCTTGTGAAGTTTGCGGATGACACAACGCTGGTGGGGCTCATCACCAAGGGCGATCAGACCCACTATAGGAAAGAGGTTGAGCTCCTGACCACTTGGTGCAGAGACAACAACCTCCAGCCAAATGTTAGTAAGACCAAGGAGATCATTGTCAACTTCCAGAGAGGCCACATCAACTACCCCCCATTGACCATCGACGGCGCTGCGGTGGAGAGAGTGAGCAGCACGAAGTTCCTGGGGGTGCACATCAGGGAGGACCTCTCCTGGACCACCAACACAGCTTCACTGGCCAAGAAAGCACAACAGCACCTCTACTTCCTGCGCAAACTCAAGCGGGCAAGTGCTCCACCACCCATCCTGATCACATTCAAAAGAGGAACTATTGAAAGCATCCTCTCCAGCTGTATCACTGTGTGGGGCTGTAGCTGCTCTGACTATAACAGGAAAGCTCTACAGCGCATTGTGAGAACAGCTGAGAGGATAGTTGGTGCACCACTCCCCTCCCTGCAAGACATTTACACCACTCGCCTCACCCGCAAAGCCATCACAATTGTCAACGACGCCACCCACCCTGCGCACTGTCTGTTCAGCCTCCTGCCCTCTGGAAAGAGATACAGAAGTCTCCGTTCCCGCACTACCAGGCTCACCAACAGCTTCGTCTACCAGGCTGTGAGACTGCTGAACTATCTTCCCTCACAGATCCCAGCCAGCAGAATCACCAGGGTGACAGGAGTATAGGATGGCAGACTGGAACCCCCCCCCCCCCCCCCCCCCCCCCCCACACACACACACACACACACACACACACATATACATGCACATTATACAAAAAGGAAATAGTGGTTGAACCAAGAACGGGGTAAACATTTCTGATTGTAAACAACTACCTCTGCATTGCAATTGCACACACCTGCTGCTATATGTTTTGTATATTATTAGCGATATTTACCTGTTTAATATGCTCTTATTGTTAGGGATGTTTTTTGTTTTAGTTATTGTTGTGCATCTGCACTTTATGCTAATGCCTACGCATGGGACAGTGTGAAACGTAATTTCAATTCCTTTGTATGGCAAGCACATTCGAAGAAATTGACAAATAAAGTATTCTATTCTATTCTATTCTATTCTATTCAAAGCCACCAATATTTTTCAACTACTGGGTATCATTTAATAAATTTTCAGCATTTCGATGGATTTTTCCAAAACTGTACGGTAAAACCTACAAATTGTCTCTTTAAATAGATTTTTAACATTTCTTTCATTGAAAAAGTTTTGTCTATGAGGCTCGTTAAGTCATTTGTCCTTTTACTTATCCACCCCGTTGAGCCACTTTTGTGGGTTTTAACAGATTATCGTCATTGTGTGCAAACAAAGAGCAAATATTCCCATCTCAAAGTTTTTTATATAAAAGTTAAACTCAGACTTTCAGAATAGAATTTCATCTCTGTTACAAACAATGTAGATTACGCGACGGCATCAGGAACCAGCTTGTTCCGCCCAGTAAGGTATAGAGCCGTCCAGACGCCCCAGCATGCCTTGTGGCCTGCTTTATTTCTGAGAACTAGTTGTTTTTTTAATAAAGTCCTGCAGTGCAGTTCCCTGAGCTCCTTACAGCCAACAGAAGGCCTTTTGTTTCCTTGCTGTCAGCCCACCGCTGCTCCGTACGCGCTCTGATGAATAACTGCTCTCCTACTGTTGAGTTCAGACCAGGACACCAGCATCTCTGGCTTTTATAACACAAACCTTATAAAACATGTATTCAAATCGATTTTTTCATTGAATCTACAGACATTTCTAGCCGTAATCCTCTGGGAAGAAGCTGCCGTCCACCGAAACAAAAAACAATTGATGCAGGAACCATGGAGGAAGCTGCAGCTGGGATACCCAGTGTGTCTGAGCTGCTCCTCATCCTCATTCCTTAAAGACAACAAAACTGTGTACTGCACCTTTAACAACTGTTTACTTACGCTTAACTACGCTGCTCATTTCTCTCCACATCACCTTTCTCACACTACATGTTTAGATGTCAGGTTACTGTAGAATTTGTCTCTAAACGTGAGTGAGTGTGTGACTGCGATGGACAGAAGACCTGTACAAGTGTTGTACCCCGCCTCTCACCTGGTGACTGCTGAAGATAGACACCAGCTTCCTGTGGCCCTACTGAGGATAGAAGGAATAAGACGATTAATACATTTTGATATTGTATCCAACCCCACTACAAGAGAATGTGTTTCCTGCAGAGAAATAATCCTGCAACTGTTTAAAAACTCTGATTTACTACGGAATTATTGTGATTGACAGTTAGCTTTTTTCTGGCGTCATTAAATCAATGAAAACAGATTTACTAAATCCCAGATGAACTCTTAAAGTGGGGCACGAACTAAAAAGTTGAAAGAGGTCTGTAACATTTAGGTACACTTCAACTGTGAGAGAGGGAGAGTAAAAAATACAGGAAATCACATTATCTGATTTTTAAAGATTTTATTTGTATCATGGTGCAGAAAGTAAGTGTTTAGCGCATGTGTGTGTGTGTGTGTGTGTGTGTGTGTGCGTGTGAAATGTGTGTGTGTGTGTGTGTATGTGTGTGTGCGTGTATATATGCATGTGTTTGTGTGAATGTGTGTGTGTGTGTGTGTATGCATGAGTGTGTGGAGGTTTGTATGTTTGTTTGTGTATGCGTGCGTGTGTGTGTGTATGCATTGCATGTGTGTGTGTGTGTGTGTGTGTGTGTGTGTGTGTGTGTGTGTGTGTGTGCGTGCGTGACTCCAACAACCTGATATTCTAAAATTAAATGAAAATTAATAGGGATGAGCCGGAGTATCCGGTACGGATAAAGCATTTTTGACGAGTACGAGCATGAAACGAGTAAAACTCGTAAATATCTATAATCGTGCTGAAGGAAAATCCTCATTGGGTAACTGACTGTCTTCACGCTCTCTGAATGGCCTGTCAAACAGAGCGCCCGCCCCTCCCTACACACAAAACTCTGCAGGCGGGAGCTCACAGCTCAGTCTGCGTCCGGTCCATCCACGCACACACACACAGACAGTAACGGATCTCTCTGTGCTTGCTTCACTGTTCACATTTCTTCAGTACTCCCTATATTTTCTTCAGTTTGCTTCTTTTAAAGTTACTTTAAAGTTATTTAAAGTTACTTTTTCGTAACGTACGTGGTGCATTTGACAAGACAGAGCTGAAAACGGCTCTTGCTGCGTCAGTCACTGCCTCCGCTCCGGTCGGGTTTTTTTTTCCTCTCTCTCTCTCCTCTTCCTCAGGATACACTCCCTCTTTCCTATTCACTCTCTCTCTTTCTTTAAATTTTTTAATCACAATTGTCTATTTTCTGATCATTTAAAATGTATTTTAATCATTTTCTAAAATCTTTTGCTATTTTACATGTTTTGTTTTTGTGAAGCGCCCCGTGATTTTTATCTTGAGAGGCGCTATAGAAAATATCTTTTCTTCTCTCTCTCTCCCTCTCTCTCTCTCTCTCTCTCTCTCTCTCTCTCTCTCATAATTAATGTTCTAATTTTATTGAAAAACTTGTTCTGTAATAGTTCCTGTACTATTGTGATCAAAAACATTTAATCTGAACTCTGAGGCTGCTCTGTAAAGTTTTCAAATAAACAATACACATAGCAACTTCTGATCAGACTTAAAATAACGTATTGATGTAAACCACGCCCACTTACGGTTAAACTACACCCACTTCCGGGTTATGCCACGCCCACTCCGAGTACAGATACAGATGGTGTACTCGCTCATCCCTAAAAATTAACAACTTGAAATATTTACTATATATCTATGTTTACTGTAACAATAAATGATTGGGAAAATGATTATAAAACAAAGCCAAAATAATGCAGAGAAACCTTTAATAGCAATGCTTCCATTTTATTTGTTGTTTTTATTTTATTTGTTGTGTGCTTTTATCTGCTTTCATGACAAATCTCTTTTCATAAGAAACCTTATTCAGTTGAAATGTATCGGGTCAAAGTTCTGACCTGGCTTCAGCTCAACAGCAGCCTCTGAACTGGTTTCTGATGATCAGAGATGCAGGAAACTGATCACAGAGCAGCAGGAAGCTTAACTCACCGCTTCAGAGAAAAAAAAATTCTGATCTGAACCAGAACTCTTCTATTAGGTTTGTTTGAGTCATCAAGTTTAAACCACTCTAAATCTAACAGCATGGCAGCAAAAATAATCAAACATTTTACTCCGACATCAGAAAAAGAAACCATTTTTTCTGTTTCTGCTCGAAATCTGATAATTTATATTTTTGTGAATTTTCATGGAAGTCTTTATTTCTCATTTATTTTATCTGATCAGAGCTGGCGTTTGACGTGAACACGAGGCCTCAGATTTACTACTGCCGCTCGCCCAACATGGAGGACTTCACCTGCTGGTGGCATCCGCTGGTCAATCTGACGGATGGAGAGGACGTCACCTACACTCTCATATACTCCAAAGAGTCAGTAACACACACACACACACACACACACACACACACACACACACACACACACACACACACACACACACACACACACACACACACACACACACACACACACACACACACACACACAGTTTTGATGCTGGGCTGAGTCTACATTCTGAAACAAGCCTCCCATCAGCATCACTCCGGACTTTCCGGGTCATGTGAGCGCTGTTGTTCAAATCCCCTTTGATTTCTGCTGCAGCGTGAAGCTTTTAGGACATCGATATGCGAGAGCAGCTCTGCATTTCTGAACCTGATCTCACGTGGACTCAGACGGCTGCTAGGCGGCCACGTGCCCTCCAGCGCCAAACAGGAAGCATCGGCAGTAATCAGGACAAATTGGATTGTATCTTTGACCTCGATGGCTTCAGCACTTAAAGCCCGTCTATTGTTGTCATCCTGATGCTGAAGAGTCAACAAATGTAAATCTGGGATTATCTGTTTAAAAATCTGATGGAGGGAAAGTTCTGACTTGGTGATTTTACACTAATAAGTACTCACATTTGTAGCATAAATATTGTCTAACTCAACTCTTTTAAGGATGAGATCATGTAATGAATCTGTAGCATGCATCACGCATTAAATTTAACAGGACAGGATTTAATTTACTAGGCAGCAACTATGGCTACGCATACTCAATAGTTTGTTGATGTGGATAAATTAGGTGATTTGATCTGTTGAGGTGCAAAAACTCAGATTTACTGACTGACCAATAGCAAAAAGCTGTGCTGTTTTGAAGATTGCTAAAACTATTTTAACCACCTGTCCTTTACGGGCTCTGAAATGTTCTGGGTGACATTTAACACCAGTAAAGCATCAGCTGATGCTGCAAAAGCATCCATGCATCAGGGAGACTTAGCTGGTTGAGTCAGTGAGGATTTAGTTTGTCTCAGTGTCTGACTGTAATCAGCTCTGCGCTTTAAGACAATCTGCTGCTTTGTGACCTTTGGAGATCTGGAGGCAGGTTTGGTCTCAACCTGCTGCAGAAACAAAGTTCCTCCAACCAGAGTTTAAATCTCCTGTCTAAATATAGAAAACTTCATTCAAAAAACATTTAAATGTATTCATGTACTTTATTTTACTCATCCTGTTGAAAAACATCACTTTAGAAGCAGTAAAGCAGAACGAAGATTAATCTAATTTAATGTGGCCACCGGTGGAGAATTTTACTGTAGTGTCCTTGGGCAAGACACTTAACCCTCCCTGCCTGCTGGGGGTGAGCCCAGGGCAGCTGTGGCTACTTTGTAGCTCATCACCATCAAATCAAATCAAATCAAATCACTTTTATTGTCACGTCACATGTGCAGGTACACTGGTACAGTACATGCGAGTGAAATTCTTGTGTGCGAGCTTCACAGCAACAGAGTTGTGCAAAAATACAGTAATGTAAAAACATGTAAAATATAAAAATGGCTAATCTAAATATACAAATGAATAAAGTAAACAATAAAATAAGAGATATAAAATATACAGATGTTGGTATGTGCAAAACAGTGGCATTAATGTACAGTATGGAGCGTGTAATGTTGGAGTTTCAGTAGTGAGGGTGAGGTGTCTGCGATGTGTTCAGCAGTCTGATGGCCATCAGTGTGTGCTTGGGTAAATGATACACTGTGGTGTAAAGAGCTTTGGAGTCCTCTGACTCTGAAAAGCGCTTTACAAGTGTGGGTCATTTATCGCTTAATCTGACCCTTTCTTAATTATCACACTCATTATAATCCAATTCAATTCGGTTTAATTATGTAGCGCTAAATCACGACAGAAGTCGTCTCAAGGCACATCACAAAGTAAACATTCAAACTGAGTTCAGTTAATTAAAGGTCAAGGTCAGCTTTTTTATAGAGCACTTTAACTGTTGCTCGTGCAACCACATGAAAAACACACTGACAAATAAACATATTTAGAAGTTAAAAAGTGGAGAAATAACAAAGAAACATTAAAACCATGAATGAAATGACAGGTTGAATAAAACAATAGGGAGCTTAAGTCACTTTCCGCATCACGGGTCCCTGGAAGAACGAAATAATGAACGCAAGTCAGCGAGGCTAAAAACTTTTCTAATCCGCTTTGCCTTACGCCCTGGATCGCACATATGTTGTACTGCAATTTAAATGAAAAGTCATGATGGGTGTTTCGACCACGCCAGTCACGTACTTTGAGATTTATCAGCTTGTAAAAGTTCGCAATTAGCATGACTACACACCAGAAATAGGCACGTCGCATATGTGACGTCACCACATAATCTCCTCCCCCTAGCGTAGCTGCTACTTACCACATGACCAGATTTATGGTGGTTCTTTCCTCCTGTGGGAAGTTTGCTTAACTTGCAGCCGTTTTCCCTCAGTTTCGTCCGTGTCTGGTTCGATGACGTCACTTTCGTGAAGCACATTTGTAGTCCTGGACTTATTTTCGCACAAAACCTAAAATATCGTTCCCGCGTTCGAAAATAAGCACGTTCTTGGTATCAAAATGTGTCTTTAAGATTCACGGACATCATATGTGAAATCCGTGGCACAAAACAAGCGGAATTAGAAAATAGCGTTTTTAGCCCCGTTGACTTGCATTCATGTTTTCGTTCTTCCGGGACCCGTGGTCCAGAAGTAGGTGGGTGTGACTTAGGCTCCCTATTACAACAAAGTCATGTAATAAAACCACAGTAAAACTAAATTAAAAGTAAAAGAATAGCTACGCACATTAACCAATATTAAAAACCAGATTTATGCCAATCACTTAAAAGTTTCCTATGTAAGTTTATTTATTGTTAAGGCCTGTAGAAAGCTCCTTTCATGTCTGGATCTTCTCCAGCTAGCAGACCTGCGTTCTTTACTTCCAGGGTAGGAAGACCGATGGCGCTCCTGAAACACATCCAAAAATGACCATTATTTAGTAGGCTGGTTGCTTCATAAAGAAAAAGCATAGAAAATGGTACGAACAAGACAACGTGACCACCTGAAGTCCTCCCTTCCTCTGTCAAAGGGCCCAGAATCTTTTCATGCATTAGTTTTTATCCATAGCTTGGCCCTCCCCATTTGGTGACATGATCCAGTACACTCCGTCTTACTTTCTGTACTGGACAGATAAACAACGGATACATGACCTACGCCGTGTCCCAGATCATATATTATCCAACAATAAGGAACCCAGGTGATTGCATCGAGTCGCTGACTAGTGTCAGAGTCTTTACAGCAATCCTCATACCAAGCAAGCATGTAGCGACAGCGGAGAGGAAAACTCCCTTTTAACAAGAGGAAACCTGGCACAGTACGAGCAGCCACCCACCACGACTCACTGGGGTCAATAATAATAATTAAAATAACACTGCTAAATATTATCATATAAAAAACTCATGAGATATAATGAATTTACAGAATTATCTTGAATTAATCCAATGTTAAATATTATTTTGACTCATCCATAACAATTTTTCTAATTGGAGTTCATGTTGTTTGAAGATATTTCATCTCTCTTCCTAAATTGTTCTTCAGATTATTCTGGATTTTGTAATTCAGGATTTATAAAATGTAGAACCATAAATACTAATCAGGAACATTGGAGCCAGGTGAGTCGTTCATCACCCCTTCCATCAGTGATCTTTATGACTAGGTGATGGCAAGATGAGAGACAGAGTCAAATCAGAACAAAATAATACAATTAACTCAAATTTATAAATAATTAGTTATTTTAAACCTGAAACACCGAACCTTCTTTGATTTTTTTCAAATATGTCCTACAGGATTATTAAATAAACAAAATATTTTAGTGTCAAACACTCAACCTTGAAGAACTCCAAATTTAATCAAGTCAAGTTTTTGTAGTTGTTTGGTTTATTTTCTGCAAACCAGGTTACCTTAAAAGAATCGAACTCACAGAGGATTAGAGCATAATATTGTTCAGTTTTCTTTGCAAAGGGAGAACGGTGAAGCAATGACCTACAGACCCGTAAGCTTGGTTGACACAGTCTCAGAAAGCTGAGCTCTGTCGGGTCTTTTATTGAGACACACACAAAATAACACACACACACACACACACATCTCATCACATTCCTCTCCGTAGACATTCAGGAGAAAAGTTGTTTTCATATAGGGAGTGAAACTAATGCCACAACTCCCTTATACAGAAACAGGTGCATTCATTCAACCTGCTGGTTCCCGTGGAGAAAAACAGATAACACACAGCCCAGCGTGTTCTAGGAAGGTCATTGTTCAGTGGGGAGACTGGCACGGGAAAAGCTTGCATTTAATAAAAACAATTATAATGAGAAGAACAGTAATAATATCGTTAATGTCAGCAATTTTTACCTAACAGTAGTTTTTATTTTAAAGAGACAATGTGTCATTAATCTCTGGAAATATCCATATAAATGTTGTTGAAATGAATGAAAAGATGGCCAGTTGTTGAAAAATATTGGAAGTTTCATAACATATAACCATAAAAAAATCTGTTCTAAAACTGGGAGTGGTCTTAAGTCTCTGGGTGACACCATAATGGATGCCATGTTTCCTTTTACAGGAGTCTGTGAGGACAAAATGCATTTACTGATTTGTAACAAATGATTACAAAACTTTCACCATTCATAAACGTTGTTTATTTTCACATTTACCTCTTCACTTGTTGCCAGCGTCATTTAGCTGGAGGTTGCACTCCCAAAGATTTTTTACCCTAATGGCCATCCATTGGTAAGGTCTTATTTGAACACAAAAATTTTGCTTGCTTGCAATGATGTAGGTATGTACTTCTCCCTATCGCCGGGGAAAATACACACTCAGTTTAACTCCAAAAATTAGTTATTTGAGTCTGTTTATTTATTTAGTTGTTTGTTTATTTTTGCAGTAAGGGGCCATCACACGAGTGTCCGGACTACGTTTCTGGTGGTTCCAACAGCTGCCATTTTGACAGCAGCCACACATCCATCTGGAAGATCTATTGCATGAAGGTGACGGCGATGGCCGGCAGCAGGAACTACACCTCCCAGGAGCACTGTCTGGACGTGGCTGAGATAGGTGAGTGGCTTTAAACATTTCTGTTTCTCTAGCAGTGTGCCAGAGTTTCTGCAGTTTCATCGTCCTGGAGTTTTGATTTTTAACAAACAGGCTTCCTTCTGATGAGCCTTTAGAAAAAGAAATGAAGAATTGATTTAAAACGTTCTGTGAAAGGTGAAAATGGAGGTCTGGTGTGATTAGATGCTGAAACGCTCAGGTGTTGAAAAGAAAAGGTGTTGGAGAGCGATGAACGTGTGAACCCAGAGGGTGAACAAAGGGTTACAGAAGAGGTGATCATTTGGATGAAAAGCCAAAGATTTCATTTTTAATTTTAAAATACACGACATCTGCAAATAAAATAAAACAATTTTAATATCTTTTTCCTTAAGAATCATGACCTGAAATATTAATAAAATCATCTGATTAAAGAATGAGACATTTAGAGGATGTAGGTTTAATTTCAGGTGTTTTGAAGTTTTTTTCCAGCCACATTAGAAATGCTGCTTTAGGTCCAGCATGGACGAAGTTACAGCAGGATTACTAAATAAAACCAAAATATCTAGAAATGTCTTTCTAAAAGACATTTTCTAAAGAGACTTTCTAACTTGGGCTGCACAGTGGCGCAGTGGTTAGAGCTGTTGCCTTGCCGCGAGAAGGTCCTGGGTTCGCTTCCCGGCCTGGGATCTTTCTTCATGGAGTTTGCACGTTCTCCATGTGCATGCGTGGGTTCTCTCCGGGTACTCCGGCTTCCTCCCACGGTCCAAAAACATGACTGTTAGGTTGGTTGGTCTGTCTAAATTGTCCTTAGGTGTGAGTGTGTGTGTGTGTGTGTGTGTGTGCATGATTGTTTGTCCTGTGTTGCCCTGCGATGGACTGGCTCTCTGTCCAGGGTGTACCCCGCCTGATTGGCCATTGACCGCTGGAGATAGGCACCAGCCCCGCCCCCCCACCCCCACCCCCCCACCCACCCACCCACCCGCAACCCTACGTGGACAAGCGGGTTCAGAAAACTAATAGATTTTCTAACTTCTTAAACACCGAGGTTGAAATGAATCTGTTCCAGGTCCCGGTAGAGTTTGTTTACCGTCACTATAACAACCGTAATCCACCTCTTCTCCACTGGTCTGGGTTTTGATCTCACGTGTTTGGACGTGTAACGTCCAGCAGGTCGTTGTGTTTAGTCACTGGAGACCGATTTTAGGTTTTAGTTTTAAAACTGAAGTTTTGTTGCTGTTTCTTTACGACTGAATGTCTGTTGTTATCAGGAGAGGATCAATCTACTTCCCGAACATTGACCAGAGGCCATTGTGTGTGTGTGTGTGTGTGTGTGTGTGTGTGTGTGTGTGTGTGTGTGTGTGTGTGTGTGTGTGTGTTTCTTTCGATGCTGAGAGATGTCAGAACAGGTCAGGGTCATGGTTCTTATCAGGCGAGACCAGGAGTCGCTGTGGTGGGAGGCGTCGGCCAACAAAAGGTCACAATTTCAGAATGTTGGAGCGAATCCTCCCAAATGTCATGTAACTGAAGAACAGAGCCCATGTTCTGATCATCAGCTGGTTCTAGTGTCAGAAACACACATTGGTGCCACTTAGAAAACAGAATGTTTAGTTTTACTGAACCAGGATTTTATTCCACCTTTTACCTAGCTTTAAAATATAAAAGCAATGCAGAAATGATGCCCCTTAAAAATTAAATTAATAAAATAAACCTCCTGACAGCTGGGGAGGAGCCGGAGGGTCGTAAAGAGCTCAGGTTGGAACTGGAACTGTTTATGTTTTTTTATGTTTATTTATTTAGCAGACGCTTTTATCCAAAGCGACTTACAATTTATAACCTTTAGGGCATGCTGTGATCTGTGGGGGAAACCGGAGTACCCGGAGGAAACCCACGCATGCATGGGGAGAACACGCAACTCCACGCAGAAAGGCCGCCGCCGAGTTTCGAACCTGCGACCTTCGTGTTGCGAGGCAACAGTGCTAACCACTGCGCCACCATGCAGCCCAACTGGAACAGTTTGACTTTAAGATGGTCTGATGAAATACATAAGTACTCAAGTAACTTAAGTACTAAAGTTTGGAGTGAATGGCAGCAGGTAACTGGAATGTAGACACTCAGGTGGACTCTTAAATAAATATAAAATATAACTTCAGTCAGAATTTGACTATTTTAATTTGAAATCTCTTTCTAACCAGTTCCTCTGGAGTCTATTTAATGTCATTGTCGCCCTCTGCTGCCCGCTCTCCCCTCTCCGATGATGCAGTCCCATGCGCGATCCAATGAGTAAACTCCATCATCTCTGTTCATGGTCCCACATCCACATATCCTTATCTCTATAGCGTCTTTTATCCATCTTTTGTATTTCTGTTGTTCAGTGTTTATGATCCTTGTGTTGTCCCAGTCCATTACATGGTTTTTTCTTGTGCAGTGATCTGTTACGGCTGACTTCTTTATTGTGCTTTCTGCTTCTTGTTTTGCTGCTCTTGTGTGTTTTCGACTTGTTGCTTTCTCGCACTCCTTTCTATGTTCTATTGTTCGTGTGTTGAGTTGGCGTCCGGTTTCTCCTATGTATGTTTTATTGCAGTTTGCATGGGATTTCGTAAACGACTCCACATTTAAGTCCAGCTGGTATCTTGTCTTTTGGGTGCACTAGTCTGTTTCTAACTGTTGTGTATGGTTTTGTTGGTGTGTTATGTTGTGTATTTTCACTGTTGCTCTTATTTGTTCTTTTATGCCTTTGATGTATGGTAGGGTTATCACTGGTTTTGGTTCTTGTCTTTCTGGGTTTCTGGTTCATTGCTTAGGTTGTTCTTTTCTTTCTGTTGTTGTTTGTTGTTTTCCTTTGTTTATTGCCCATGTCGGGTCTTTAAAGCGTGTTGTTTATGTTTATGTATTTAGAAGACACTTTTGTCCAAAGCGACTTACAAGTGATAATCGGCATGTTGCCCTTGAGCCTAACAACAACAACAATAACAACAACAACTTGACATCAATCATGGAGAGTAGGGAACAAGGAGTGGACGGTAGAGAGGAGGGACGGATGCAGGCAAGGTTCTAGTTAAGAAGATGCTCTCTGAAGAGCAGGGTCTTCAGGAGTTTCTTGAAAATCGAAAAGGAAGCCGCTGTTCTGGTAGTGCTTGGAAGGTCATTCCACATTTGTGGAACGATGCATGAGAAGAGCCTGGATTGTCCTGAGCGTGGTGTAGGCACTGCTAGCCGACGATCCTGTGATGAGCGGCCAGGCCGGGACGTAAGCCTTTGCAAGAGGATTCAGGTAGATGGGAGCCTTGCGACCACAGCTAGTAACAGCCGCCTCAACAATCGCAGAGTGGAACAAGGCCCACTCAGAGTCAATGTCCCCAACTGCTCTCGGGATGCGGTCAAACTCTGCCGGAGGTGGGAGTTGAAGACCGTCTTGACAGGTTCTTCTGCCAGGCGTTCCCAGCAGTTCCTCACTATGCATTTAGGTCTGCCAGGTCTACGCGGCATCTGATCCAACTCACCACCAGGTGGTGATCATTTGACAGCTCTGCTCCTCTCTTCACTTGGGTGTCCAAAACATACGGCCGCAGGTCAGATGATACGACTACAAAGTCTATCATCGACCTGTGACCTAGGCTGCCCTGGTACCAAGTGTACCGATGGGCATCCTTATGTTCGAACATGGTGTTCGTTATGGCCAAACTGCGGCTTGCACAGAAGTCCAATAATGAAACACCACTCGAGTTCAGATCAGGCGGGCCGTTCCTCCCAATCACACCCCTCCAGGTCAAGCTGTCATTGCCCATGTGAGCATTGAAGTCCCCCAGCAGGACAATGGAGTCCCCTGATGGAGCACTATCTAGCACTCGTCCCAGGGACTCCAAAAAGGGTGGGTACTCTGAACTGATATTTGGCCCATAAGCACAAACAACAGTCAGGACCTGTTCCCCGACCCGAAGGCCCAGGGAAGCTACCCTCTCGTCACCCGGGGTAAACCCCAACAGACAGGCAGAGAGTCTTGGGGCTAACAAAAAGCCAACCCCAGCCTTCCGCCTCTCACCCGGAGCAACTCCAGCAAAGGAGAGTGTCCAACCCCTCTCAAGGACTTGGGTTCCAGAGCCCATGCTATGTGTCAAGGTGAGTCCGACTATATCTAGCCGGTACCGCTCAACCTTTGCCACAAACTCCTGCTCCTTCCCCGCCAGTGAGGTGATGTTCCATGTCCCAAAAACCAGTTTCCTTGTCCAGGGATCGGACCGCCAAGACTCCCGCCTTGGTCTGCCACCCGATCCACACTGCACCGGACCCTCCATGTTCCTTCTGCGGGTGGTGGGTCCACAGTTGGATGAACCCGTGTATCCAGTTCGGGCTGGGCCCGGCCGGGCCCCATGGGCGAAAGCCCGGCCACCAGGTGCTCGCTTACGGGCCCCAACCCCAGGCATGGCTCCAGGTTGGGACCCCGGTAACCCTCCGGGCCGGGTACTCCAACTCTTTGAATTTACATCCATGAAAGCGTTAGTCCAATAATAAAATGTTAACCAATCTGTGAAATGACAATGTTATGATCAGTAGTTTTAATAAGTAATATAACTTTAAACTAGCTGCACTAGACATTCTCATCCATGTAATGCTTAAAGTCACATCACACATTTCCTTTTTCTGATCCAATCAGAACCTTCCAGATCTGACGCGAGGCGTGGTTTTATTGGTGCTTGGTAAATCCCCTCTGGTTGTCCTTTTTTGATTCGACCGTAAATCAAAACATCCAAATTATAAAACTATGCCCACGTCATCTTAACTTCAGTTCAAGCGTTCTAGAGAAGTTGTCGGAGTGGCCAATCCGTAAACTTTCCTCTTCAGCCGAAATAACCTAGCGACAAACTGGATTAAATCGGTAACATGTTCCACCTGCTGTAACGGTTCCTTTCAGAATAAAAGCTGAACCATCACGACCCCCTTTTTGGGTCTCGCTAGATGCCAATAAAACTGTCGTGACCTGGAAGTATCTCAAGACTGGTCTGGTCGGCATCCGCTGCTTTTCTACCGGCTTCGGTGCCAGAGGAGGTCAAGCTGGACCTTGACATTCCTGATCTAACGGGGACTTCCGCCAAGGGTATATAGACCAACAGAATATCGTCTCAATGTGTGTTATAAATCTCCCAAACCAAGCTTAGCGCAAAACATAATCTTCAATCCCATCAGAACTAATCGTTTCTCCGTATTTGCTGGTTCTGAACATATTCACACATACACCATTCTCAGTCTTACTTCACCTTAGTTACACCATACACCTAGTGTTTAAAGTTAGTCTTGTTTAATTTGTTTAGTAATAAACCTTCAAACTTTTAAACCTGACTCACTCTCTTTTCTTGAAGTTGATACGAAGTGTTGCTCAATCCCTGCAAGAAAAAGATCCGATCTTCTGGTTAAATTTACTCAAAGATCCATGAAGGTGATATTTCATCTTTCATGATATTTCACATTTTATGGTTTCTAATTAAATGTAAGATCATCTTCATAATTCATAATCATCTACATAAACAACAGATGAACCAGATGTTAGAGGACAAAAATACATACAAAATACTCAAAAAAGACCAAACAGAAAGCATTAAGAAAAACATGGAAAAATTACTGAAGCCACTACAAGAAAAAGGTAAAATAACAGAAAAAATGTACAAACACTGGATCCCTACAGCAAACATAACACCAAGAATCTATGGAACGCCAAAAATACACAAACAAAACACCCCACTTAGACCAATAGTAGACAGCATAGGTACACCAACATACAACATGGCAAAAGATATCTGCAAAATCATCAGCCCGTTATTAGGTAACACAGATCAACGTTGCAAAAATAGCATAGAACTGGCAAAAGAACTAAAAAAGATTACAATAGAAGACAACGACATACTCATCTCACATGACGTCACATCCCTGTTCACAAAAACACCAACCCAAAAAACCATAGACATAGTAGTTAGAATCAGACAGGACAAGACTTTACACAAAAGAACAAACCTCACAGCAGTTAACATAGCACAACTGATAGGACTGGTAGCTAACTCCACTTACTTTACATAACATGACACAATATACAAACAACTGGAAGGCTTCGCCATGGGTAACCCGTTATCAGCCACCCTGTGTGAGTTTTTCATGGAAGACCTAGAGCAAAAAGCCATAGCCGCTGCCCTCCCAAACTGCTAAATAAAACTATGGAAACGCTACGTAGACGACATACTGGAAATCATACCAAAAGGACAAACAGAAACACTAACACAACACTTGAATAACATTGACGACACAGGTAACATAAAGTTCACATATGAGTCAGAAACAGAAGGCAGTATAGCATTTATGGACATGAAAATAACCAGGCAGACTGACGGGACCCTAAACATAAACACATATAGGAAACCGACACACACAGACCAATATCTATTATGGACATCAGAACACCCCACCATACACAAAATGTCATTAATCAGATCATTATATCACCGAGCAAACATGGTAACAGAAGAGACCATAAACAAGAGGACAAACACATACACCACGCTTTAAAAACCTGCAGATACCCAACATGGGAAAAAAACAACGAACAACAACAGAAAGAAAAGAACAACCAAAGCAAAGAACCAGAAATCCAGAAAGACAAGAACCAAAACCAGTGATAACCCTACCATACATCAAAGGCATAACAGAACAAATAAGAGCAACAATGAAAAAACACAACATAAACACACCAACAAAACCATACACAACAGTTAGAAACAGTTGGACTTAAATGTGGAGTCATTTACGAAATCCATGCTAACTCTGCAATGAAACATACATAGGAGAAACCGGACGCCAACTCAACACACGAACAATAGAACATAGAAAGGAGTGCGAGAAAGAAACAAGTCGAAAACACACAAGAGCAGCAAAACAAGGAGCAGAAAGCACAATAAAGAAGTCAGCCGTAACAGATCACTGCAAAAGAGAAAACCATGTAATGGACTGGGACAACACAAGGATCATAAACACCGAACAACAGAAATACAAAAGATGGATAAAAGACGCTATAGAGATAAGGAGACGTGGATGTGGGACCATGAACAGAGACGATGGAGTTTACTCATTGGATCGCGCATGGGACTGCATCATCGGAGAGGGAGAGCGGGCAGCAGAGGGCGACAACGTCCTCTGCTGCCCGCGGATAAATGGAGTAGGAAGTGACGCCACCATCTGCGTTAGCTCTGAGGATGTTTGCAGCCGCAAACAAAACGTCAGCAAGGTAAAGAGAAACCTTATCTGTGTTTAAAAAAGAACCAAAAATGGACTTTGAAGAAAAACACGGCAAGAACGTACAAAAGATCCCTTTGGGAAAGTTTAGGCCATGATGTGGTCTCAGGTACACAACAGGTGAGAGAATCTTAAAGGAGAGGAAACAAAAAAAATATGTGCTCTGAAATCGTCATCAGGGAGGCATCCTAACCAGATGCCCGAGCCACCTCAACTGGATCCTCTCGATGTGGAGGAGCAGCTTTTGTTCATCTTGTTTGTTTGTCGTTGTGGGGGACAGTGGAGACGGAGGCCCCAGCCAACCTGAGCTACAGGCTGACGGACGCCGGTGGAGATGAGATGGGGCACAACGTGCTGCTGTCCTGGACCTATCCGGTCCCTGAGGACCTGCGTTACGGTTGGATCACGCTGGTGTACGAGCTGCAATACCAAAGGGTCACTGAGCCCGACAGCTGGAAGGTAAACACTCTGTCTGCTCTCACAATAAAACTCAGCAAAAACTTCTGACAGAAGAAAATATTCATTTAAAGGGAAACAAAGTATGATTTTCGTATTTCTAAATAATTTTCTTGAGCCAGTATGTGCTAAAATGATGGGGGTGGGGTGGGTGTTTGGTTCGCTGTAGTTTTTGACAATTAAACTTGCGCTCACATTTTCAAAGTTAACACACATCTCTTTTAAGAACGGTAGTTTTTGCATCTTTACTGTTACCCTGCTTCAGCCCCCTCCCCCTGTGCAGCGGCTGCAAACTCACTGATGCGCCTGCAGCCTCCCAGAGTTCCTGCTGAGTGCTGATCTAAACACTGAAAGAATAATTTCATTTTGTGTTCCTCACTTCTGATTACCTTCAATGGTGTCTGTTTGTTGCAACCACCAGGTACAAAAACTAACTTGTTTTTATGTGACTATTTTTCTGTCCTGCCTGTCTATTATACTGCATCTCCACTCAATCCTAAAGAAAAGCTGCTACCTGGCTTCATATTTTTCACCTTATGAGTTACCTCTGAACTGCAGTTCAAAAAGATCTTCCGACCGCAAAAATACTGGATTGCGCGCCGGCCGCGCCATTGAGGGTCGCCGGAGGACAAAACAGGTGATAGGCTCCGCAGCAGCGAAACACATCAGGCACAAATTAAAGACAGAAATCATAAAAGGATATGAGCCGACATAAACCATCGCGTGTTAAATTTGTTTTTGAGGTGGCACAGTCTTTCGCTGTGGTAACACGATTCCTCCTCTCAGGATCTTGGTCGTACTATTTACCAGGAACTCTGTTAGACAATAGTAAAGTGGCTAGCCGACATGCTAGCGCTGGAGTGTGCTTCCAGCATGTTTCCAGCATGTTTTAGATCATGAACACAGCTGATGAATCAATCCTGTAGACACTAATGAAGGAGGCTGAAGGGAGATTCAGCAGTTAGATTATGATGTTAAAAAGACGATCTCCGAGTAGATCTCTGCTAGATCTTTATCATGGATAAAAGTGATGAGCTCGAGGAGGCTCATGGTTGTTGATGGCAGGTTAGGGAAGTTCTCGATTTCTTGCACAAGCTCTCTACCATTCAAATCAGAGTTCCCATCAAGTGCAGTGTGGTGCTTAATTCCTCACATTGCTCTGTCAGCTCCTCATCTGCAAGGCTTGAAAAATTGGTCAAAACCCCAAATTTGTTTTGAACAATTTCCAGTGTGGAAAACCTCTCCTTGATGGCTGATGTGGCTGCATCAACAACAACACTGAAGAATTCAACCTCCAACTTTTTGAGGGCATCACTGAAAGGTCATCATGGGATTCATATGAAAAGTGGCACTTTGTGGACCTCAACCTTTTGTGTTTCACAACAGCCTCCACATTCATTTCTTCACACGTTTGTTTGGCTGCCATCTGTGCTGTCTCAAAGCCACTTGCCCTGTAGCTGTGGAGACCTTGCTCAGTCTTCTTCAAAAGACTCACAGCTAGGTCCACACGCATATTTGGAGACTGCATGAGTTTGCTGGCATGCTATGATCAGTGGACCAGTAATGTATTTCATTAACATGTTCAGTAGTACTGGAAATGCTAATAACGGGATAGTTAGTGAGGACTAGGGACTTTTTTTCTGCTTGTAGAGTTTATTCATTATTATGTGAACATGACTCATGATCAACGTGTTTTTGTTGTTGTTCAGGAGGCACGCCGCAGGCTGCAGTGCGCATTTAACGAATCCTCGCGCTTGAATCATTAAAAAAAGGATTAAAGGAATTAATTCGAACTATTTGTTTCAAACTTTCAGCGCCATTTGCTCTGTTAGCATTTAGTTGACCGAATTTAACTGTTAAAATCCCCAGTGAACCGGTTTTTAAAAAATTAAAAACATGCATCCGAGCATGAGAACGTACTACCGTTGTCTTTAGCCTGTTTCTCTTCTTCTTTTCTTCTTTTCCTGAGTTGGGCACCTGATGGTTTTGGCCTTTTTCTGTCCATCTCGTTTGGCACTCGACTCAATAAACAGGTTTCCAATCCTCAACGACAACAACCAGGAGTCAAGACTAAACCAATTGACCTTGCTGGGTGACCTCAAAATCGTTTTGTTTTTCCTCCATTTTTTTTGGCCATTTCACTCAATTCAGAAAAACATGAAGGAATTATAAGCCTGTATTGATAATATTATAAATTAAACGTTATATGGAAGAACATCAAGGTGTGACTGACTTCAGCCATCTCATACAGTTGATTCAGATTTCAGTTTGATGACAGTGGATTAAAATGGACACTAGGGGGTGCTAACAGCAAGTTAAAACTGCAGAGTTGGCCTTTAAAGTAAAATAAAGATCTGAGTCAGCAGATCTACTGAATATTCCTCTTTTCTCTGTGGAGATAAATCGTTGTGTGCCAGATTTTATACTGAATATTCCAAATGCAGACTGAGAAAACTAAGGCCAGATGGTTGTTTTTGCATTTTGAATTGTATCAGTTAGACATTTCTAAAGCCTGATTCCTGCTTCTCCGTCTGCGTCAGTGCGGAGACACGCAACACCATTATCCGTCCTTGCGGGCCTGCTGAAGAGCTCCACAAGGACGGACGGAGTCGAGCTCTCTTTTCTAAACATCCGTCAGGCGAGATGGACAACGCAAGCTTGTGATTGATCAGGACGTCGCGGTCGTCTACACCGCCGGCATTGCACCCTCAAAAACATAAAGAGAGCCAAGGATAACTAGCGGCAGACACGGAGCAGCTTGAAGAATACCTTGCAAAAAACTCTAAAAACATGAACGTTTAATTCCCCGTGACTGGAGGAGTGAAAAGATGCGCAGCAAGAATTTTATTTGTGGACCGAAATGACAGGAAACGTGGGTTTAGAGGTGGCGAGTGCATGAAGAGGTGGAGGAGGATGCGAGACAAATTTGTCCGTGTTAAAAAGTCTCTTATATACAAAAAAAAAAAACACAACATAAACACACATGGACGTAATTTTCACTTTAGAAGTGGGGGGGACACGGGGGGGGGGGGGGGTATCTTTACAGTATGCTCTAATGGGAAACAGGCTTCAAAACAAATGGTTGTTTTCCGCTTGGTCCTAGAGCTCAACCAGTGTCAATTTAATATAGCGTAATATTGTTTTTGGATGGTAAAAAGTGCAGGGGTCAAAACTTGATTTTGGAAAAAGTGGAGGGGACATGTCCCGCCCCCCCTCCCCCAAATTACGTCCATGTAAACAAACTATCTTTGACCGGAGACATGGCAGGATACCACAGAACAGCGCTACGCCCTCTGTTGTCCTGGTGGGGAATTGCTTTGCAACACTCCCCAGGAGACGGAGATGTCTGAGGGCAAAACATCTCCGTCCGTGCGTGCTTCTCTCCCTTTTGGAGCTGACGGAGAAGCATGAATCAGGCTTTAGGTGAACCAGTTTTTAGGATGTTTTTAGAAGCTGCAGGTTAGAGAAAATATTTTAAAAAGTAGAACAAATAAAGCAAAACCCACCTGATCATGAAGAGTTTTAATGTAAAGAGTCATCTAATCTTGACTAAGGTCCTTCCCACTCTCACTTCTCTGTCTGAAGGTGAAGCATCCTCTGCGTGAGCCCCAAGTGGAGTTGCTTGGACTGCGAGTCGGGGACTATGCGGTCAGGGTCCGATGTCGGTCCCACAACTCCGGCCTGTGGAGCAAATGGAGCTCCACCCTCCTAATGAGCATCCCCCATCGTGTGCCCACAGGTGAACACACGTGGTTGCCATGTCAGCGAGAGCCTGACACATTGTGACGTGTCAGCTGCTGAGACTGGAAACTTTTATTTAGATTATCAGCTGACTGATTTGAATTAGACATTTTGCAAACTGCAGCGATGATGTTTTGTCTTTTCATTAAGAGTTCTAACATTACAGAGAAAGATGGAGAAATGAAATAGTTTACGTAAACATCTGGTGGAGCCGATGATGGTGGTGGAGCTGAGTCCGACTGTAGAAACCAGATCATTTAAACCCGTTTTAGGTTTAAAGTTCCGCTCCATCTTCTGATGAGATGAACTCTAGTTGTAAACGTCTCAACAAGAGTCTTAATAACGTAACTAACTGGATTTTCATCCATATTGATGTCTCTATCATGAAAGCAGCGATGATCCCAACTAAAACTTCATTTTAAGACATCTGATTGATCCCTCAGACTGTGTTTACCTGTGCAGGTAAAGTCCTGGTTCTGGTTCTGGTGGTGGGAGTTGGTGTGGTGGCCCTGCTGGTTGTGGCCTTTGGCTTGATTCCACAGAGCAGGAGGTGAGGAACTCACTCAGTGTCAGATTTCACTTGCTAACACGAGAATCTTCTCTGTTCAAACATCTAAACGTCTGATGAAATAATTTAAGGAGAACGTTTGATAAACTGGACATAAATAAAAATGTCTGGAGGTGAATAATCATGAAGACATTCCTTATTGTTGTGTGGTTAGAGGATACATAATTATTTCTCTTTATTTTATGTTGTAAGTTGGTGTTTTTTTTAGAATAATCCTGATGGTGGGCAGAGAGCGTTTTTCAGAATCCAGCTGTTTTCAGCCGCCTATCCGGGGTCGGGTTGTGGGAGCAGTAGCCGAAGCAGAGAGACCCAGACTTCCTTCTCCTCAGCCACTAGGGTCAGCTCCTCCGTGGGAGTCTGAAGGCATTCACTGGCCAGCTGAGAGACATCGTTTCTCCAGCGTGTCTTGAGTCTTCCTTTAGGTCTCCTCCCGGTTGGACGTGCCAGGGAGGCATCCTGACCAAATGCTCGAGCCACTTCTACTGGCTCCTCTCGACATGGAGGAGCGGCGGGTCTAGTCCCGGATGACTGAGCTTCTCGATGCAGGGAGCCCAGCGACCCTGCGGAGAAAACTCAATTCGGCCACTTGTATCCGCGATCTCGTTCTTTCGGTCACTATCCAAAGCTCCTGACCATAGATGAGGGCAGGAATGGTAAATTGCGAGCTTTGCCTTCTGGCTCTCTCTTCAGCACGACAGACCGGTACAATGTCCACAGCACTGCAGACACAACACCAATCCGCCCGTCGATCTCACGCCCCATCTTTCCCTCACTCGTGAACAAGACCCTGAGATACTTAAACTCCTGCACTTGAGGCAAGTGTCATGTCCCTGGGAAGGTGTTTAACCCACGACATGAAGAATCATCACAAAACAGCAGAAAGTTCAAACAATGATTTATTAAACCCAACTAAAAGTGTCCTGGAGATATCCAAGTTCAATGAAGCCAGAAAGAGTCCAGAAGTCAGTAGGGAGGGCAGATGGTGTGACGGGTGCGTCCAGGAGAGGAGGCCAGACGATGGCGGCAGAGGATAGGAGGAACAGGAGGAGAGGCGAACCGTGAGAGTTGTTGTCCAGGCGGGTTATGGTGAGTTCCAGGTAGGTATATTCCATCAATGGTTCAGCGTTTCCAAGTATCCTGAAGAGGAATACAAACTTGAGCCCAAAATGGTCCAAACACAAGAATCCAAGAAAAAAATCCAAATACATCCATTACTGCAACAGCAAAAATGTCTGAGCAGAGACCAAGCATAACCTAAGACTTGAGAGTGGCAAGATACTACCGTGAGTAGCTAATCATCCAGCGATGTGAAGTAGTTCCCTCTCCTCTTAAATAGAGCTCTGCTGCAGTTGCTCTGAGGATCTGCAGCTGCCTCTGATTGGTAATGCTCCGCAGCTGGTGAGTGCCCTCTCCTGGAATGAAGATCTCACAAAGATGTTGTAGAGAAGGAGGAGTACTCACCCCGACACACAACAGCAAGACCTCATCCCTGACCCGGAGAAGGCATTCTACCCTTTTCCGAGTCAAGACCATGGTCTCGGATTTAGAGGAGCTTATTCTCATCCCAGCTGCTTCACACTTGGCTGCAAACCGCTCCAGTGAAAGTCGGAGATCACGTTCTGATGAAGCCAACAGGACCACATCATCTGCAAAAAGCAGAGACCCGATCCTCAGGCCACCAGAACAGATCATAATAAGGACTAAATACTCAGGACTAAATAAGGATGGGGAAACCTTGGACTCTACAGAGACACTTTGTGTTTGGGTTTGGGCTCAGTTGATGCTTTTACTTTGATGAGATGTCAAAGCATTTCCCTTGATTTTTAACCTGAAAAGGAGAAATAAAACTCAAGCAGTAATCATTTTAATTAGTAGCAGGATCTTTTCCCTTATAATCTAATTATGTTAGAGCTAATTAAACATCTGTGTGTGTGTGTGTGTGTGCGTGTGTGTGTGTGTGTGTGTGTGTGTGTGTGTGTGTGTGTGTGTGTGTGTGTGTGTGTGTGTGTGTGTGTGTGTGTGTGTGTGTGTGTGTGTGTGTGTGTGTGTGTGTAAAACACAATCTGTGTCTTTCTGCTTTTAGGCTAGTGTTTGAGCTCCATCAGGGTCACAGTAGGGTTTCTGTCTCAGCCCTACTTTAGTGTTCTTTCAGTTCCACGGCCGGTATAGAGCCCTGTGTCAGACTCTAATAAGTAGTGTGTGTGTCTGTGCACATACATGTGTGGTTGCATGTGTGTGTGTTTCTACTGTGTTCCTGACATCTGTCATGTCTGATAGAAACATCAGCCTTTAAATCCCGAGCGGGTTAATGATGGCTCATGTTGGAGCCAGCAGATGCTGCAGATTCAACAGGAGCAGCAGCTGGAGTCCAGCCTGCAGATACACACACGCGCACGCATGCGCGCGCACACACACACACACACACACACACACACACACACACACATACACACACACACATTCTCTCTCTCTATCTTGTCATGATGCACAAACAGAGTGAAATGGAAAGTGTGATGCTGATGAATCAGGAAGTGTGACTGGTCCTTTTCTTTTCAGGGTCAGAGTGAGGTGTGTGTGTGTGTGTGTGTGTGTGTGTGTGTGTGTGTGTGTGTGTGTGTGTGTGTGTGTGTGTGTGTGAGAGAGAGAGAGAAGCCTCTTCATGTTTCCCGTTTACATGTTTTCTCCTTCAGAATAAAAGAGTACTTCCTGCCTCCCATTCCGAAACCACGGATCATGGGGATTGACCCTCTGCTCTTGAAGGTAACGCGATGCATTTAGGGTCTTTAGTTTTCTTCAGCTGTTGTTGATTCTGTGTGTCTTTGAACCTGTTCTGACCCAACTCTAAACTCTTGATATTGCCTCTTCCTCCTCAGAAGGGGAACCTGGAGGAAATCAACCATCACTTCAGCACCTTCCATGGCTACAGACCCCCAAGCTACTCCATGGAGGTCTGGGACCAGGTGAGGGCTGATGGTGCCTATCTCACCTCCCTGAAGAACTGCAGAGTCCCATCTGATGGTTGTGATAGGAAGGTGGTACCTGGTACCGCCCAGAACCACTTCCCTGCCCAGAGCCCAACCACCTATGTCCAGAGCGTGTCTTCGTACTGCACGTCTCCTCCTGAGATCCTCCCCTCACTGCTGACTGCTCCATCTCCACAGCAGAGAGCTGAGATTACGTCGGTACTAGGGACCGACTACAGCACGATGGAACATCCGTTCCACCCTACCAACACTGGCCCCGGTTCTGACCCAACCAGCCACTCACCGCAGGATTTCTACACCTGTGTCCAGCTCATGAAGGAGAGCAGAGAGGTGCACTTGGTCCCGTGTTTCCCATCAGCATATTGTCCAGAATTCCCACTGTTCCCCAGCTCAAACGAGATGGAGGAGGAGGAGAAGAAAAAGAGGAAGCTGGCTGAGTACCAGCTGAGGACGAGCACAGTGAGGGAAGGAGGAGAGAGGAGCGAAGCAGCTGCTCCTCTGCTTCCTGTCTCAGACACTGGCTGATGGACAGAAAAACAGCTGGAACATGGAGACTGTTTCCATGTTTAATGAGAATCTGCTGTGACCTTTGACCCCAAACTGCTCCTGTCTGGTTCTGCTGTGTTCCTGCTGCCTCGTCAACCCACAACAGCAGGTTCTTCTGCACATGATATTTTTCACTTCCGTTCAGAAAACCATCAACAGACCTGTTTCAGCAAAGCACTAGTGATGACTCAGCGCTTTTCTACAAAAAAAAAAAGAACAAAAGAAAAAGAAAACATGTCTTTCTTTTAGCGTTCAGATGCCACTCTGATTTTATTTGTCATCTTTAGGATCCAAACTGTTGCTGTTTTAATGTAGAAATACCTTTTTTCCTGGAGCAGAAGTACTTTAATCATAGATTGTGGGTAATGAAGTCCATGTGAAACGCTGCTTTTACCGGGTCAGATCCTCTTTCAGGACTCGTCAGTTTGTCTCAGGTGACAGGAAGTGCAGCGATGCACCGTCTACGTTCAGATTCACTCGGACTAAATGAATGAAAGATTTTTCATTCCTCTGGTCGCTCCAGATGATCCAGGATCTGCTCTTATTCCTTTATTCTCTGTATGTCGGTACATGTGAACGTGTCATTAAGCTGACCGTCTCGTTGTCTTCATCGGGTCGGCACTGATTGGAGCGTTGGTCTCTCTGGAAGCTTCAGCTGAAGCTCCTGTTTGTGTTTTTTCTTCACCTGCTTTGAGATTCTGCAAATATGCACAGATATTAAGAAGTATATTTTATGAAAAATCACTGTAGTTCTATGTTTTAAAGAACGTATTTTGTATATTTTAGAAATGCTGCACGACCATTCTCAGGTGTCCTGCATTATTCTGAAGCAGAGTGAATTTACTGCAGGGTTTTTACAAAGAAAGGGTTTTTCTGATTGATGGAAAAAAATCCTGGAAAGATGACGATTTAGCAGAATGCAAAGATCCGGACTTGTGCTGCAGACTAGTCTTTGGTGCCAGAGGATTTCCATTTCCTTGGAAGTGTTTTTAAAAGCTCTAATCCAGTTTTTTAACAACCAAGCCGCTGAGTTTGACCCCAAAATGCTGCACATTATCAGGCAAATCAGATCAAACCAGACTTTTCATTTAAAGTATGTTAGTTGTTTTATTGCCTCCAGCTGTGTTTACTTTTAATTATAATTTTAGTGAATCTGAACCAAACATTCCTCTCGTGCACCAGCGAGGCCCTGTTAGCAGCTCAGACGAACCATGATATAAACCTTTAATGGAAAGTGTGTGGACCACCGACGGGGCTTGGGGGTATTTGGGGTCACTGTTTAGGGTAAATCCCTCCTGTCTGATTTTTTCAAATACCTGGAACTCAGCAGTGTTGTTGCGTTGTCTCCGTGTTGATCATGCAGTAAAATTTGGTGTTGCCGTCTCTCTTTGTGCCTTTTCTCGCTGTTGGAGTTGTGTTTTCCTCTTTTCCCCAGCAGCTGATGTTCTGCACACACACACACACACACACACACACACACACACACACACACACACACACACACACACACACACACACACACACACACACACACACGTTCTCCCCCAACCGAATCAGATCTGCAGGAGGTTGTTTCTGTCGGACTCAGGCACTTTGGATTTGATGCAGTAAAAGGTGAAAAGGTTTCTTCTGAATGCTTTGTTGCAAATTGATGAATCACAATTAGTTAAAAAGCAAGTCACCCCTTTACCAGAGTCCTACTCCACTGCCTCTTCAATTTGAATAATGCAACAAATATGTTGCCAGGCAGACCGAGAGGGTGGAGTCGCTAGCAAATACACACATACAGGCTCACAATGACATTGTGACATCATAATGTACCAGCTAACATCATAGTGTACCTCTTAGCCAATAGCGATGGCAGATTTAAATTCAAACGCATTGCAGAGTTTTTACCTGAAGATGGCTCAACACTGACAGTTTTGGGCAGAATGTTTAAATTTTAACTAAAATGCACTGAAGGGCCAAATTATTGACTACACGTGTCTACAGCACGATTGGACACTTGTTTAAATCGTTTATCAGCAAAAAAAAGTTGATTTGGGGGTGACTTGCTCTTTAAATAAAAGACATGAGAAATTAAACTCCTTTACAAAATGTACTAAAGTAAAATGACCCTAAAGGGGTTTGTGTTTAACCACTGATTCATTTTCAGAGATGAAAGCCTTCTTATTCCAACAAAGATTAATTTATTTATTCATAATTGAATAACAGGGAGAATTTTGTTCACCGTGTTTTGTTTACTGTAGATCTGTGTTGTTGGTTTGACTGCAAAACATGTTTTCATCGTATTAAATAAAGTTTAACGTTCAGATCCTTGTGCTTCTCTCTGCAGTATGTGTGTGTGTGTGTGTGTGTGTGTGTGTGTGTGTGTGTGTGTGTGTGTGTGTGTTATCAGCATTCTCAGGTTATAAATAGCCCTGATGATTGCCAGCTGAATGCAAGCAATCAACCTTGTCCTTCAAGCTGCTTTTTGAGGTTTTTCTTAGTTCAGCTTTATGAAGCTAAAACCAGAATCAGCAGACCTCTCTGTTTGTGGACTGAAAGGAAAGGAGGCGAAGGAAGGAGATTAACAAAATGAGGGAAAGCAAGAAAAAAACCTTCATAAAAAAAAGTTAAAAACTAAGTATGGTGGAAAATCTTAAAAAAGATTTAAAGCCCCAATGTGTAATATTTATACATGTTTACTATCAAGTAGTTCACAAATTAGTCATTTTTCGTTAATATTTCTCACCAACATCAGTTTTAAATATTTCTCTCAGCTTGAACTTTAATGAACTGTGGTCGACGCTCCATGGCCATCCACCATCTTGAAATACAGTAGCTGTTTAGGGACATATGAGCTCCGCGTTCTGCGTTAGCACTATGGTCGTGACAGGTCGTGGTAGGTTTACAGAACAGTCATAATTAAAAATGCTTTTGTAAATTGATCGAGTAGTTATATTTGTAGATAAAATGAATAATATACCTCCATATTACACTATATTTTTAATGAAGACATTTCAATAGAAGAGGTATAGGAAGTTGTAGAAAATGCAAAAATACACAAAGCTGTTTGTACTCGATTGCCCAATGAACTTCTCAAATGTCCCAGGCAGTTAACTGTCCTGGGGCCTCATTTATCAAGCTTGCTTACGCACAAAACGGGGTTGGAAAACTGCGTAAGCAACTTTCCATGCAAACTTTGGGATTTATGAAAGAAAACTTAGCGGAAAAATGTGCGCAACTTTAATTAGACTAAGGACCTGGCTTACACACATGTTGGACATGGAGAGCACCTGCAGTGCTGCTGCTGAGAAGATACAATTATGAAATCCTGCAGCATTATCACTTGTACTGCTTCGTTTTCACACAGAACAAGACCCCCCACATGCACACATACACACACATGCGCGCACACTCGCACACAGCCTGAAGCGCAGAATACGAAATGCAGAATATCAGCAGGGGGACAGATTGAGACAGAATGTTATGCGTCTGTGACAGCGTGTGTCCTATCACTAATCTAATTGATGATGCGCCCTGGCTAGTTGGACAAGGGAGAGCTCTGTTTTACTGACTAGTTAGCGTGTGTGACTTTCACCCGGGAGTCTGGGGATCGAATCCCAATTGGACCATTTTTTTATATCCGCCATAGATCTCTCTGAAGAACTCACAACATTGACGGCTTCAGCAACGCTGTGCCACTCCGTTGATTTTCTCTTATTTGTTTTACAAAAGCACTTCCTTTCATTTCTCCACCTCACCCACAAGTACCTCAATTTCTGCTTCTGTGAAATTGCGCTTCCTTGATCTGCCTTGATCTACGGTCGCCATCGTCATTGGCGGAGCGCTGCAACAGCCGGCTTATGAATATGCATGAGATCCACAAGGCACTCTGCATTGACCATTTATGGCAGTAAGTGGGCGTGGTGAGGGCGGGATGTGACTAAAATGCAGCTGAGAAACTTTCTTGTTAGTCTCTGATTTATGAAGCAGAGATTGCGTGCAGCTGTGCGTACTCCACGTTTGATAGATCACAAACCTGCTTGGCGTAAGTACCTTTTTTTTTTGCTGAGCTTAAGTACGGATTTAGTCAGGATTCTATGCAATGTTTGATAAATGAGACCCCTGCACTGTTTGTTTAATTATTGTTTTCAGTCTGGTATAATGAGTGGATGAACAAAGTGGATTTAGGAAACATAGAGCCTGTATTGATCACATTTATGTTTTATCCTCTGTTTTAAGGGCAAGACATCAGGAAGGCAGGAGTACCTTTGTGTGTTTTGTTGATTTAAAAAAAAGCATTTGATTGGGTAACTAGAGAGCTTTTGGAGTATAAGCTGTTGTCTGCTGGTATTGATGGACATTTTTATGAATCTATTACGGCGTTATATAAATTACCAATAGCTTGTATGCAAGTGAATCATTTAAGAACAGGTTGGAGTTTTTTTTTACCCCATTTGGGGTTAAACAGGGAGATGTTCTCTCCCCTACGTTATTTGCTCTGTATGTTATTGCTTTAGCACAAGAAATGAAGTCTGCAAACCTGAGTATACCAATCAAGGAAATAAATGTAAGTACATGCTGAGGATGAGTTGAACTTGCAAAAAATGTTGGATATTATGAACATTTGGTGCAACAAATGGAGACTTACCATCAACTGTAAAAAAAAAACATAAATTGTCCATTTTTGAAATATATTTAAGTGTAGAAGTGATCATGTATTTAACTTTGGTGAAGTACAATTAATGCATTCTGTTACTTATACGTATCTTGGTTTTATTTTTCATGAGAGCATGACATTTACTGAAGGTAGAAGAGCACTGGGTGGGGTGGTTAATGAGTTCAAGTGGTGTCCTGACTTGGGTTTTTCCACATTTACCACATTATATGACTCCATTGCTCCTGGTATTTTTTGGGGCACCTGAATGTAATCTTTTGCAGAATGGAGCTATGAGGCGCTTCTTAGGAGTTCACAAGTATACCTCCATGGCTGCCATAGAGGGTGATATTGGGTGAGAGCCCTGTGTGATAAAACAGAGAGCCGAAGTTATGCGTTTGTGGATAAGAAATCCTCAACTGGGACAAGCTTCATAGATTTCCCCGGTCAAATGATGTTTTAGCACTTTTCTCACTATTAAACAGCACACCTCTATTTTTCAATATTCTGCAGTGTAAAGTCACAATATGTACACAGACTTTATTTCAGATATATAAAGACCAGTGGGAAGTTGATGTGCTTAAAAAGCCAAAACTACAGATTTACATTGAATTTAAGGACAGTTGTGACAGAGCCATACGCTGAAGGTCGTTTAAAAAGAAGACGGCGATCTCTCTGTGCTCAACTACTTTGCCTCTTGCTATAGAAGTGGGGAGATATAAAGGGTTATTGGAGGAGCAACGTCTGTGTATTTTATGTGATCTAGATGTGGTTGAGGAGGAATTAAATTTTTTGTTTTACTTTCTGTTATATAATGGTTTGAGAAGGTCTATTTTTCAAAAGATCCAGCATAAAAATCCAGATTTGTTCTTGTTATCAGAGGGTGAAATGTTATGTTAGATTTTTAATAAAGGAATTTTTGTCCTGGCAAAATGTATAGAAAGAGCGTGGGTACATAGAAAATCTGTACTTTATCCTGTCACGTGAATTGTTGTTTTGTAAATGTATGGCCATCTATTGTTTTACTGTTTAGTTAATAGTGTCTTTTAAGCCTGTGGGGCTGGGCACACGTTGTGCATGACACTTAAATAAATAAAATGGTATTTATTCATTTATAGCTTTGTGTAGTTTATGCTAGAAATTGGAAATTAACTACCAAGCTTCTGCTATTATTAAAGAATGGACATGATGGCTGGAGTGAATGTTGGAGATTGTTGCCATTTTGTGTGGGGCCACCGTAGCTGCAATACCTACTCTGAACTGCACGGTGCTAAAGAGTCGCATTCTTTTACCATCATTTCTATTCATCTCACAGATAGGACCTTTAAAGTGACAATGTGTAGTATTTACTGTTGATCTCTGCAAACATCAATCAAAATGTTTAAAATGTATTAAAAGATGCCCAGTTGTTGAAAAATATTGGTGGCTTCATAACATACAGCCATTAAAATCAGGTCTAAAATTTATGGGAGCGGGTTTAAGGTGTTTCTCAAAGAACCTGCCATGATGTTTTGGTCCCGACCCGGTTGCCTAGGAGATACGTCATCAGAAGCCACCAAGACGTGTTCCACTGTTCATTTTCTACCGAGGCATCTGATCTCTGTTTGTTAGCCATTTAGCTAGCTGACCAAGGATACACGGGAAGTGTCTTGTAGCCTAGCCTTGGTCAAAAATTTCCCAGAATTCACCCGCGATATTTTGAAAAAGGATGGCGGGTCAGAAGCCAGCGGCTGCTTTGGGGGCAAATTTCAAGTTTAAAAGTAAGTCAGCTAATTTAAAATGTGTTTTTAATAGATCCAAAGAAGTTGGCCTGCCACACACAAGAGCAATCTGTAGAGCAAACGGCCTCGAGTGACTGTTTGCTCAGCAGATACCTCGCTGTGTGCGCCTGATTTTCACTGAGTTTTCCGCCTCACGAGACGCTGAGCCAAATATCTTTTCTGCCTCACTGGGGGTAGAAACTCACTGTGCCTGCTACTGAGCTGCTGGCTGAGCTGAAATATTCTAGTAGTCAATCAAAGCGCGTTCTCTGCTCACACGACCCCTAGATGTATTCACATGCAGCCCCCTGCCCTGTCTGCGTCTCTGAAAAATAAACAAAACGGTACCTTGCGGCTCGATCAGCCCACTGTTTCCATCACCCTCTCAAAGGATCCGGGCGGCGGTACTGTTGGAAGGATTCTGGGTCTTCCAGGCGCATCTTGGGGCAGCAGTAGCTCAGGTGGTAGAGCGGGTTGCCTCATGATCGGAGGGTCATGGGTTCGATTCCAGCTCCCGCCAGGGGTATCCTGCTGTTGTGTCCTTGGGCAAGACACTTCACCCAACTTGCCTGTGTTAGTGGTGGTCAGAGGGGCCGACGGCGCCAAATGGCAGCCTCGCCTCTGTCAGACCTCCCCAGGGCGGCTGTGGCTACAAGTAGCTTACCATCACTAGCAGTGTGTGAATGTGAGAGTGTGTGAGAGCGTCTTTGGGTGTCTAGAAAAGCGCTATATAAGTTCACTGCATGTATCTCTTGGAGTAGATTGGCATAAACTCCTTGCCTGGCCCATCTTTCCAGCCACCGTACACATACTTTCCTAACCTTGAAATGTCGGTGGCGGGGGCGCTTCCTCCACAAAAAAAGTAGAGGCATTTCCTCCGCTTCCAGCCCTGTCTCCGTTTTGTTTATTTTCTGACATGCAGACAGGAGGCTGCCATCTTGGAATCATGTGATCAGAGAATGCACTTTGATTGGCCACTAGAATATTTCAGCTCAGCTGGCAGCTCACGTAGTGCACACACGGCGAGCTTCTACCCCCCGTGAAGCGAAAAATATCTAACTGGTCAGATATTCACCTCAGCTGGAGATAGGCACCAGCCTATCTCCAGCGGTCAATGGGCAATCAGGCGGGGTACACCCCGAAAGAAAGCCAGTCCATCGCAGGGCAACACAGAGACACACAGGACAAACAATCATGCACACACACACACACACACACACACACAACTAAGGACAATTTAGACAGACCAATCAACCTAACAGTCATGTTTTTGGACTGTGGGAGGAAGCCGGAGTACCCGGAGAGAACCTACGCATGTACAGGGAGAACATGGAAACTCCATGCAGAAAGATCACAGGCCGGGAAGCGAACCCAGGACCTTCTTGCTGCAAGGCAACAGCTCCAACCACTGTGCCACTGTGCAGCCAGAATGAAAAAAACAACAAAGATAAAAGATTAATAAAGATTCCAAATTATAAACAAGGATTATTCTGAAATCTGCAGCCCTGCTGAGGGTGGGGTAGTTCGGGCATGGGGGTGGGGGGGTGGGGGGTGGGGGGCAGTGACGGGGCTGAGGGTGGGGGCAGAAGGGTCTAACTTCAGGAAAAAATCAGAGTGGAGCCACCGGCTTCAAGGCAGCAACGTTACTCATCCTGAGGTAGGAAAACGCACACATTGATAAATACACGCACACACACACACAAACACACACCAGCACACACACACACACACTCGGGATGGGCAATTTTCCTTTTCCAGCCCGTTTTCTGATCTGAGATCTGTCATTCTGGCATTAAGTCTGCTTCTGCTGCCGGGACGCCTGAAAAGCCTAAGAGGCCGAGGCAGCTGTCACCTGCTTAAAATAGATCAGCTGGAAGGACACACACACACACACACACACACACACACACACACACACACACACACACAGTCGCACACTATTTTGATCTGTTGTTCACTTTAAATATCTGAGAGGAGGATTTGAGAATAAGCTGGTTTGTTCTACAGAGACGAAGATCAAAGTAAAAGTTTAAATGTTTGATTCAAACCACAAAAATCTCATTTTGGTGTAAACACTAGTTACTGTGTTCTGTTGTCTAATCTTTCATTTTTAAACTCAAAAGTCTTTTTTGTTGTTGATTTCTAAGACATTACCTTTATTTTCAACTTAAAAAGTGGCTTTGACTGAACTTGAGGAGCTTTGAAACAGAAAAAGTTTCAGAAGTGCTTTTATTTTGTTAAATTTAAGGTTCTCGGTAATTAAAACAGGCAGATGGAAAACTGTTTAATTGTTAGATGTGTTGTTATTATTTTATAGTTTCTTCAGTATAGTGATCAATCCTGGTTGCCATGGCGACGTCCAATCTAAGCGATGAGTGTTGTGATCAAACCGTAACTGATCGAGGTGAGGAGGAGGAGGAGGAGGAGAAGAGGAGCGTCAGAGGAGTTCAGTCTCATTACCTGCGCTGTCCGTCTCCCAGGTAGCTCTCCGTTTTACAGGAAAACAGAAATCAAACAAAAATAATTTCTGTTTAATTGTATTTTTATTTATTAGCTTGTTGTTAGTTTAGTAATAAAACCTCGTCTGCCTTGATGTCCATCCTTCTTCCTGTGACTATTAAACTATTAGACTAGGAAGTAGAACATTAATAAATCTGCTTTGTATACATTTAATCTGACCTTTCTGAGTAAAACTAACAACGGGGAAATAAAATTTTGCCCAGAAAGGTCATCTGTTTTCATCTTTGTCTTAATAAATGTAAACCGGGACAGGAAATGAACTTTTCTGTATTTTATTTGGGGTCTAAAATCAAGCCCACTAAAATCTGGAGCCAGGAATCAGATAAACCTGCGCCAACATGTCTTTAAAAGTCTTGTTCACCATAATGAACCCTTTAATGTTGATGAAAGTCCTGACGAAAGAAGGTTCAGCTCCTGCTCCATCGTTTTCACAGTTTCTCCATGATGTCAGACTCCAGGTTCTCCATGATCTCTGGGTCAGATGCTGCGAGCATCTTCATGGAACCAATCCACCTCTCCTCAGCCGTCGCTGCCAAGAAGATCATAAACGAGGGTGAGACGATGATATTAGTGCTGCTGCATGGCAACAAGAACAACACTGGGATGTCACAAGGTTGTTTTATTGATGCATGGTGGATTGCTTCTAATGTGCGTTTGGACGATTTTCATTAGAAGTTGGATAAAGAGGCAGGTTTTTTTTCCTCCTTCACATGTGGAATGTGAAATTAGGAGGCCTAAATGGATCAAACACTCTTCAGTTAGAGCCGTCCACGTTCTGGCCCTTCAACTGGTTAACAGGCTGACACACCAGGAGACGCTCCTCTCTGGAGGAGCAGAGAAGCACTAATTGAAGGAATCAGCCTCTGTGACAGATCTGGGATCAGCTCTGGTATAACAGACAGTTTAATGGACGATGCATGTTTCATCTGTGTTGGTGGGGCAGGGGGTGCCACTGCAGCAGATGTTTTCTGCATGAATCGCATGGTTTATTTTAGAAACAACGGAAACACGTCAGAGGTTTGATTCTCCCTGTGGTGGGACGGTGCAACGTGCATCAGACCACAGAAGCTACATCTGCATCCATCTGCAGAATTTGGTTATTTATTGTGGAAATATTTCCTCTTGGAGAGAAATTTAAAGCATCTCACTGGTTTCATTTGTTTTTACAACAAAAACATTCATTCGACATCTAAACGTCGGACATTTAGTCAGATCTTTTCCATAACACTATGAAAAATCACACACCTTTAGAGGTGTGACCACCAGACCCCTCTGAGAATAGGTGATGTAACTAATAGTTTTATGTCTCAAACAGGAAGCCTGATTTCACTACTACCCTGAATATAGTATCTGTCAGGTCAAAGGTCAAGGGACTTAGCTTTTAGCAGAATTTCTCACTGGACAGTAACGGCATCTCCACTATTTAAAATGTCTTCAGAAATGTCCTCTAGTTTCCATCTTGTTCCCCTCATGACAGGAAATAACGAATCCTCCTTTCCTGCAGAGCTGCCACCGCGTGGCGTTCGCACCGAGTCCACGCCAGAGTCCATGCTAGAATCTGCCGAGCAGCTGATGGTGGAGGACCTTTACAACCGTGTGCGCGACATGATTGATGACCGCAGCCCTTACAACACCCCCTGTGTGCTGGACATCCAGAGAGCCATGGTCCAGGACCGCCTGGAGGCTCCCATCAACCCCGTGGACGAGGTGTGGCTCAACATCTTCATAGCTGAGAAGTGAGTGATCAGAAAATATTTTCACTAAATGAGGAAATTTGATGTGAAACAAGCAATTTATAGATTTAAGGGATTTATATAAGAGTTTTAGGTGTAAGCAGAGATGTGGCTGAGAAGGAAGCAAGAAAACTTCCAGGAGCCTGCAGAAAATACAGCAAATAGTAAATAAAACACGTCAAAACAAATAAAAATTCCACCTTTTGATGTGATTCAACAACTTAAGTCATCCCTTAGAAAATTCCTGCATCTTTTGACCTGAGAACACAGGTTTATCTTCTGTATGTCTTCCTGAAAACCTTTTGGACTTCTCTGTTTTATGTTTGATACCAAAAGCTTGTGGACCATCTTACTGTGGAACTTTAAAACAATTATTTTGCCATAATCATTTCAAAACTGAAGACAAGGACTTAACTTCAAAGTTCAGTTAGTGAGTTTAAAATGTGAACTTTGGTTAATTTTAGAACCTAATAAGATTTCATCCGTCCATCTATCCATCCATTTTCACCCGCTTATCCGGAGTCGGGTCGCAGTGGCAGTAGCCTAAGGGGAGAGGCCCAAACTTCCCTCTCTCCAGCCACTTGGGCCAGCTCCTCCGGGGGAATCCCAAGGCGTTCCCTGGCCACGTGAGAGACATAGTCCCTCCAACGTGTCCTGGGTCTACCTCTAGGTCTCCTCCCGGTTGGACGTGCCCGGAAAACCTCACCAGGGAGGCGTCCAGGAGGCATCCTGACCAGATGCCCGAGCCACCTCAACTGGCTCCTCTCGATGTGGAGGAGCAGCGGGTCTACTCCAAGCCCCTCCAGAATGACCGAGCTTCTCACCCTATCTCTAAGGGAGAGCCCAGCCACTCTTTGTATCCGCAATCTCGTTCTTTCGGTCACTACCCAAAGCTCATGACCATAGGTCAGGGTAGGAACGTACAGTAGATCGACCGGTAAATCGAGAGCTTCGCCTTCTGACTCAGCTCTCTCTTTAATGCGACAGACCGGTACAACGTCCCACAATGCCCGCATCACTGCAGATGCAACACCAATCCGCCTATCGATCTCACGCTCCAGCTTTCCCTCACTTGTGAACAAGACCCCTAGATACTTGAACTCCTCCACTTGGGGCAGGACCTCATCCCTGACCCGGAGAAGTCATTCTACCCTTTTCCGAATCAAGACCATGGTCTCAAATTTAGAGGTCTCTGGGCTGTCACCTTACCGTGGTGGAGGGGTTTGAGTGTCTCAATGATCCTAGGAGCTAAGTTGTCTGAGGCTTTCTGCCTCTGGTAGGGTCACCCATGGCAAACAGGTCCTAGGTGAGGGATCAGACAAACAGCAGCCCAAAGACCTCTCATGATGAATTATATAAATGGAAACCATGTTCCCTCGCCCGGACGTGGGTCCCCGGGCCCCCCCTCTGGAGCCAGGCCTGGAGGTGGGGCATGCTGGCGAGCGCCTGGTGGCCGGGCACAGCCCAAAGAGGAAACGAGGGTCCCCCTTCCCATGGGCTCACCACTTGTGGGAGGGGCCAAAGGGGTCGGGTGCAGTGTGTGACGGGTGGTAGTCGAGGGCGAGGCTCTTGGCGGTCTGATCCTTGGCTAATAAGATTTCATTTGAAACAAAAAGACCACGGGTAATGATTCTCTCTTTCAGATCTGTTGCAGTCAACAAGGCCCGTCTGAAGAGGATGGGAATAACACACATCCTGAACACGGCTCATGGAACGGGGGTCTACACCAGTGAATCCTTCTATGCCAGTATGAACATCAGGTACATGGGTATTGAGCTGGATGACTTTCCCGACGCAGACATCTCACAGCACTTCCGACCCACAGCCGAATTCCTTGATGATGCTCTACTTACACACAAAGGTGAGACGGGTTTGTCAGAAAATTCCCATTCGTGTGGATGGATGGATGGATGGATGATGTATGAATGATGGATGAATGGATGATGAATGAATGATGTATGAATGGATGATGAATGAATGATGTATGAATGATAGATGAATGGATGATGTGTGAATGATGAATGATGATGAATGATGATGGATGGATGGATGGATGGATGGATGGATGGATGGATGGATGGATGGATGGATGGATGGATGGATGGATGGATGGATGGATGGATAATGAATGAATGAATGAATGATTGATGGATGGATGAATGAATGAATGAATGATGGATGGATGATGAATTAATGATGGATGGATGGGTGGATGGATGGATAATGAATGAATGATGGATGGATGGATGGATGGATGATGTATGAATGATGGATGAATGGATGATGAATGAATGATGAATGATGATGAATGATGATGGATGGATGGATGGATGGATGGATGGATGGATGATTGATGGATGATTGATGGATGGATGGATGGATGGATGGATGGATAGATAATGTATGAATGATGTATGAATGATGGATGAATGGATGGATGGATGGATGATGTATGAATGATGGATGAATGGATTATGGATGGATGGATGATGTATGAATGATGGATGAATGGATGATGTATGAATGATGGATGAATGAATGATGTATGAATGATAGATGAATGGATGATGTGTGAATGATGAATGATGATGAATGATGATGGATGGATGGATGGATGGATGGATGATTGATGGATGATTGATGGATGGATGGATGGATGGATGGATGGATGGATGGATGGATAATGTATGAATGATGTATGGATGATGGATGTATGGATGGATGGATGGATGGATGGATGGATGGATAGATAATGTATGAATGATGGATGAATGGATGGATGGATGGATGATGTATGAATGATGGATGAATGGATTATGGATGGATGGATGATGTATGAATGATGGATGAATGGATGATGTGTGAATGATGAATGATGATGGATTGATGGATGGATGGATGGATGGATGGATGGATGGATGGATGGATGGATGGATGATTGATGGATGGATGGATGGATGGATGGATGGATGGATGGATGGATGATTGATGGATGGTTGGATGGATGGATGATTGATGGATGGATGGATGGATGATGTATGAATGATGGATGGATGAATGATGGATGGATGGATGGATGGATGGATGGATGGATGGATGGATTGATGATGTATGAATGATGGATGAATGATGGATGAATGGATGATGGATGAATGATGGATGAATGTATGGATGGATGGATGGATGGATGATGTATGAATGATGTATGAATGATGGATGAATGGATGATGAATGAATGATGGATGAATGATGGATTGGTGGAGGTTCGGTTGAGCAGAGAAAACCAAAAATGAACACGTAGGAACAAATGACTGCTTGGGTTTTCACTCATTCCCAGAAGAATATTCATGGTTGCGTTAAATAAACTTGACCAAACATTTTGTTTATTAATTGTCAGAGATAGACTCTGTAAGATTTGCCCAGCTAATTTATTTAATTCTGTTTGAGCTTCATCACGTTAAACTGAAACTTAATTTCATCTGAGAGAAGGTTTTCACGGATTTCTCCCAACAGCCAATCTTTCTTTCTAACAACGTTTTATCAGTTCATCAGCGTTCCTGGAACAGGATGATATTCTCCTAACATATCACCTTGGGAATATCTCATTTATTAACCACAGGCTGTGAAATTTAAACACTTCTTTTCTTCTCTCTGCCTGCATGTCAGAGAATTCATTATCACACATTAAAGATTTTCTGTCCTTAAAAATCCGATGGTGGTCATTTCTGCCTCCTTTGCTTGCAGGAAAGGTTCTTGTGGTTTCCATGATGGGCATCAGCCGCTCTGCCATCCTGGTGGCGTCCTACCTGATGATCTTCCAGAATATGACCATCATGGAGGCGCTGACCTCCATAAGGAAAAAACGTGCCATCAACCCCAACGAAGGCTTCCTAAAGCAGCTGAGAGAGCTCAACGAGAACCTGATGGAGGAGCGTGAGGACGATGACGAAACGCTCAGCCAGTGCTCTGTGATCGACGCTCGCACCCGCGCCATGATCTTTGGTGAAGAAGGTGATGATAATGACACCGACAAAGAAGAGGAGCAGAGCATGGTGGAGGTCAAAGCTCAGTCCATCACGATGGAGGAGGAGGAGGATGGAGAGAGCGTGATGAGCAGTGTGGCTTCTTCTGCAGCTGCTGCAGCGCTCAGAAGTGGAATGATTGGAGTCCAAAACGGGGTGGAGAGCCAGGAAGCAGAGCAACAGGAGCTGGTTCTACCAGACCAGAATGGCCGGGAAGAAGGAGAAGATGACGACGACGGTCTAGACAGCATGATCCGTGAGTGGCAGCGCAGGAATGAAAAATACCAGAGCGACGAATGGTGGGAGGCACAGCTGAATAGTGAGCAGGAGGATGGCGAGTCCATCTCAGGGGCTCATCCAAAGAAGGCAACGCAAGGATTAGATGCTGATGGAGAGAGTGTCACCAGTGAGGATATACGATCTGTGAAAGAGAAGCTAAAACGTCGTAGCAGGAGGCCAGCCCCCGACGCCATGTCCACTTCCAGCTGTATGAGTTATTCTGATCTCTGGAAACAGAGGTTGAAGGAGATCGAGGACCAAGCTGCTGCTCGTTACCACAAGAAGGAGGACGATGACGGCAGCGAGAGCACGGCTACAGGAGGAGGACGGAAGATTGATGATGAGATTGACAGCATCCTCTCTGACACTTGTTCTATGTATAATTTTTGTCAGAACAACAAGGAGAAGATGACCCCTCTGGAGCGTTGGCGCATCAAAAGGATCCAGTTTGGCTGGAACAAGAAAGATCACGAAAATGGAGTGAAGAGCTCTGTAGGCGATGGAGAGGGAGAGTCCAGAACACCGCCCGTACAGGAGGTCAACCTGACAGCGTACCAGGCGTGGAAACTGAGGCAGCAGAAGCGTCTGGGTGAGGAGAACACGGATGAGATTCTGGAGATGAGTCGGGGCGAGGACTCGGCAACCGTCAGGAGGAGGCAAAAGCGTGAGGAGATCCTGGAGCGTTCCAAGAAAACGTTAGAGGAAAGTCAGTCCATGTGTGGGTGGGAGGCAGAAAGCTGCGTCAGCGGAGGGACAATACCCCTGTCGGCCTTTTGGGCTGGAGCTGGCGTCACAGGACCTCCGAGCATTGTCAATGATGACAACATGTCCATGCTCAGTGGCAGATCTTCTGTCATATCCTCCGTTTCACAGCCTCGGAGCGTCAGATCCTCTAAGTTTGCTGTTCCACAGAGTCCTGCTCCACCAGTACCACCAATCCTCCCAGTTCTACCAGTTCAAGGGCCAGGAGGAGAACCAATGGTTAACCTCGCTAGCATCCAGAGCTGGATCGCTAATGTTGTCTCTGAAACAATCAAACAGAAGCAAAGTGAAATGAGCCTTCCTCCTCCATCACGAGCTGGGTCTGAGCTCCGCTTGGGTGGAGGGTCTAGTGTCCTCATGGGCCGTGGTGTTGAGGACGATAAAGCGTCCTTACTAAGTGCAGCTTCCTACTCCAACGTTGCGTCCAAGGATGGAGGCAAAGCGACTTCTGTCCTCTCAGGTAGCGCACCCAGCAGCATCTCAGGTCTCAGTGGTCGAGGTTCAGTCCTGGGGTCTGACTTTAGATCCTCTCCGGGCTCTAGGAAGAACAAGATCACCACGACCAGTGTCCCTCTTTTCAGCCTCTTCCAGGACCAGGTCAACCTTGGAAAACTGGACGATTTGGACAAGGAGATCAAGTCTGAAATGAGGGACAAAATGGCCACCTACGAAAAGAAGAAAATCCTGGAAGACAACAGACGCAGTACTCTGTACAAGAAAAAGAAGGCAAAAGACGATGAAGACGAAGAGAATGAAAGGAAGAAGAAGGAAGATGAGTTTCTTGAAGAGACAACGAAAAAGGAGAAAACAAAGAGGAGTTACGGCATGTCTGGTTGTCTCAACCTGAAGCCAGCTCTGGAGAAAGACAAGAACACCAGCGTAGACAACTGGCTGAGAAGTGTCAGACCTCCTCCAAAGACCTCAGGAGCAGACGTCGACCCATCTGAGGATCCATACGATGATCTTGATGCTTCTGCTTCTGAATTTGACTTCTCAAGCCACAGAGGTTCTTTTGCTGCTGAAGATGACGAGGAAGCTTTTTCTTCCAGATACCAGTCAAGGTTACGTGAAGGTCTCCCCGTTGAGCCCACAGAATATTCCGGCGATGCTTTCTATAGCCGAGCAGGTAGAGCCTACGGAGCTTATGACAGCGACGAGGGAACAGACAGCTACGGGAACTTCTCCACAAAGAGGGAATCAGATCATCACTCACGATACCAAAGCAGAGGGACAGAAGGCAGCAGGAGAAGATGGGAGGATGCTGGTGATGATAATGATGAGGACGATGATATTTCAACCTTCATCGCCCAAACCAGGGAGAGGATCAGGGCTCGAGCTGCTGCTGAGGCTGAAGATGACGAGGTGCTCGCTGCATGGAGAGCTCAGCAGGAAGCAAAGTCTCAACGCAGAGGAGAATCCTAGAACCACCAGATCTCCTCAACATTAACTCTGGATTATAAGAAACATCTGGTGTTGCTCATTCAGTTCCACGCCGACCAGGATTCAGATTCAAGTTGCTTTTAGTGGAGAAAAAACTAAATTTTAAACACAAATTGATAAGCTTTTTTTATTAGTTTAAATTGATCAGATAATTAGAACATTAAAGATAAGTATTAGTTGATTGTGGAGCATCACTTGATTCGTACAGGATGTTGTTTTATTGGATTCTGATGAACCAGTATTTCAGCATTACTGCCACCTGCTGGCCTAGAGGGGAAATTGTTGCCATTTCTGCTTTCTATTTATTTTGGTTGGAAATAATAAACCAAATGGAGGAAAACAATCATGAAGGAATTTCTGTCATATTTGAGCATTTACTTAAAGTAGTTTTATTGTAAACTGCTGAGTCATTTGTCTCACTTTAAAGAAAAATCAGACCACGTGTGTTTTATTTAGATTATTAAAATAATGGATGAGACCGTTTAGTCGTGACAGAGAGTTCATTATTAATGCTGAAAGTTATTAAAATGACCCAAAATTTTACTGTGGCTTCTAACATCATAGGTTCTGTACATGAATGCAAATCAGACAGGAGTGGATTTTTGTCTTGACCAATGAGGCGGGTTCTTCACAAACTACTCAAGCATCCATGTACTGTTTCTTCAGAGTGTATTTACATGTTTGCATAGGTCAATAGAAAGGACTAATATCATTAGTTTCCATGGCTACCACACGTTTGGCTCCTACATGCACAGATTTCACGTCCTTTACAGTCACTGACCTGAAGAGGATGTGTTAGAGTAGAAAATGACAACAGCTGAGCACAGAAGGGATAATTAGAAGGTCTTCATGTTAAAACAACAGAGGTGTGACCAAGTCACTTCTTTGCAAGTCACAAGTAATTCCAGTCAAGTCTCGAGTCAAGTCCAAGTCAAAGACAATCAAGTCCAAGTCAAGTCCAAGTTCTTAACTTTGAATTTTCAGGTCATAATCAAGTCATCTGTCCAATTTCAATTTAATAGCAATGATGATAAATAAATTCCAGAATTAAAGCTTCATTTATTTGCTCAAACAAGCAGAAAGTGCAACTGAAGCTGATTATTAACAAAGTGCTGCTGCAGTTGGCAGCAAATCAAACCCAGAACCAAGAATGATTCATGATTTTTGTCCATGTCGGGCCACTTTTGTGCTAAAATATCAAATATGCTCAAGTCATCATCAAGTCAACAAATGCAAGTCGATTCAAGTTGCAAGTCTTTGGCATTCAAGTCCGAGTCAAGTTGTAAGTCTTTACAGATTTTATCAAGTCAAGTCAGAAGTCATTAAAATAATGACTCAAGTCTGACTTGAGTCCAAGTCATGTGACTCAAGTTCACACCTCTGTAAAACAGCATACAAAATACATTAAAATATTGTGATAATCTTACTCAAAGATCTCCCAAAAGGCTTTAAAATGAGTGATTTTCAAAGAAAGCAGGAAAAAGGGCTCCAACAATGTTTTAGCATGACTTACCTTCATGGTGACTTACAGCATGGTACTACTGGAGCTTACAAGAGGCAGAGCCTGTTGAACCTGTGAGGAGTTTCAGTCCTCCTAGCTGCTTCAAAATGTCCTACTGTGAAGCTAAAAGTCTATTATTAATCCATATATATTCCATATTCCACCCATAATTGAAATTTTGTCTGTTGACATATTTCCCAGAATTAAATAATGGAGGGAAAATCATTTTTAACCAGCCCAGTCATTCACCCGACCCGGCTGTACTCCTTTAGTTTTAGCTTAGCATAAAACACAGTGAGTGAATGGATCAAACTAGCATTGTGAGTAAAATCGTTGTTAAAATCACTCATTAGTGATCCACAGCTTTCAGCTGTGCTTTGTCATAAAGTAGTCCCAAATCTTAAAGGGTGCCTGTGATTCCTTTATGTTGATTCTTTTCACTTGCAGTCAGACTGATTGTTTAGGTCACCAAGCAGAAGTGGCATCACTACTGAGCAGAGGTGTGTACTCAAGTCACACGACTTGGACTCAAGTCAGACTTGAGTCATTATTTTAATGACTTCTGACTTGACTTGACAAAATCTATATAGACTTACGACTTGACTCGGACTTGAACGCCAATGACTTGCGACTTCAATTGACTTGCAACTGTTGACTTGATGATGACTTGAGCATATTTGATATTTTAGCACAAAAGTGGCCCGACATGGACAAAAATCATGAATCATTCTTGGTTCTGGGTTTGATTTGCTGCCAACTGCAGCAGCACTTTGTTTATAATCAGCTTCAGTTGCACTTTCTGCTTGTTTGAGCAAATAAATGAAGCTTTAAGAAGCTTTATTTCTGGAATTGATTTATTATCATTGTCATTAAATTGAAATTGGACAGATGACTTGATTATGACCTGAAAATTCAAAGTTAAGGACTTGGACTTGACTTGCACTTCCACATCATTGACTTTGGACTTGGTTGTCTTTGACTTGGACTTGACTTGAGACTTGACTGGAAAGACTTGTGATTTACTTGTGACTTGCACAGCAGTGACTTGGTCACACCTCTGCTACTGAGTGGTTTTAAGAACATTTTTACTCACAGTGCTTGTTGGATCCATTCACTTACTGTATTTAATGCTAAGCTAAAGCTATCTAAGTCTGGGAAATATGTCAACAGGCAAAATTTCCAAAATTGAGAGGAATATCTCTTTAAAACTACCAACAAAAGGATCATTTGAAGGTCCTAATTAGTAATAAATGTTGAAACAAACTTTTTTTTACTTACTTTTTGTAAGTTACATCTAAACATCGGTTATAGTTTTGTGTATTTATCTAACAGGACACTTTTAGATCAACGTCTAGAGACAGAGCAAACTGTCAGATGAGAACACATAAAAACCTGCACGTACGTGTTGATGACAAAGTTTACCTGGCATGCAGCCCTCTAGTCTTCACACCCACAGGATTTCTGAGCGTGACGAGCCTGTAACTGACTGCTGAAACATTAAAACTCTTCTGGGGTTGTTGACACCTTAAAAACAGACCCGTCGTATGGTCTACCAGGCCCTGAGGGGTTCTGTCATCACTGACCCGACTATAAGACATTATCACACAGATGATGATGCATACACACAACTCCTCATCTTCTCATCAATCCAACGGTGTTAATGTAATTTTCACCCTCGCCAAATGTTCAGTGGGGATAACTCGTATTTAAATGCCTGAATGAAACATTAACTTAATCCAAAAGGAAACATTTCACAAATATCTACAATGATAACCCTCCCACTGTCCTAATGGGTGTGACCCCGCAAGGAAAGCTGACCACTGAGCAGGGTTGATGGTTTATCCCTTGGGTCCATGTTGCAGGGGTGAGGGGTGAGCACCACCTCACCCCTGCCACATGGACCTAAAGGGATAAACCATCAACCCTGCTCAATGGTCAACTTTCTTCGTGGGGTCACCCATAAAGACAGTGGGAGGGTGAAAGCATTTCATTAATGTAGTTTTTAAAATTGTTGTTAAATGTTTCAGTAGTTTGAAAGGCACTTTATTCGATCGCCATCTGGTGGTATTTTGGAAGAACTGCAGGAACATACACGTGCAAAGTGAAAAATTGAATATTAGGTTTGTTTTATTAATATTCTTAGGCATAAATACCCAAATATTCTCAGATATAACCGGGTATTAAATGCTGTCTAAGAGGAGGTCGATTTGAGTTAATAACTAGATGGTTACTTAGATCATTTGCTGTGGCAATGTTGATTATGTTGCATAAAGACATAAAACTGAATTTTAATAGACAAATGTGTGTGGTTATTTTAGATTATTCAAGTTTGTATTCAATAGTAAAATACTTAAAAGTCCCATTTTGGGTGTTTTTTTTAGTAATAAATTATAAACATAATATAGGCTATAAATAGATAAAACTTTCATTTTTGTGTTTAATATTACTGATATTAGCCACCACGGCATATTTCACAACAATTTTGTAGACTTTAGAAATATTTATTGTCATAATTTAGTGAATTTATGATTACATGCTTTGAATAAATATATCCGAGTAAGAAAAAAATACAATCTATTGATTTATTTTTTTTACCAAATACATGGAAATGTTTGTACCCATTAAAATAGTGAACAAGTACATTTGAATGTTATACACAAATATGTGTAAAGTACAGAACATAAACCATTTTGTTCATACTAAACATTTGTCTTATTAACAGGCACGTTGCACCTGCAGCAGCTACTAGATATCTGCTCTGACTGTTGAGCAGAACACAACACTGTTTATAATGCAGCTAAAGGTGTGGTTAGGATTTGCCGCACCAAGGAGGACAAGCAAATGAAGTTTCCAGATTTTTATCTGTCAGACTTTGTGATTAGTGTCACCAAGGAAGTCAAATATCTTGTTATTACAGAGGACATGAGAGGTGATGATGACATGTAGTGCCTGTGTTATATGCTCAGGGAAATACGTAAGTTTGGGTCTTGTACTGGTAAAGTAAAGACAGCCTAGTTAGGGCTTACTGTACTGCTGTACACGGCCCACTCATGGACTAACTGAATGTAGTGTAGGTAGGCTGCAGGTTGCCTATGATGATCTGTGTTTGATACTGAGGAAGCCCAGATGGACGAGTGACAGTGAGACTTTTGTAAATGTGAGGGTGAGCACCCTCATAACTTTATTTGTAGGCTGAACAATTGTTAAAATGTGACTGTTTTAAATCTAATACTCGTGTCAGTGCAATGCGTTACTAGTCAAAGATGTGGAAACACTGGTATAACAGTATTTTTCTTTTTTAGATTAGAGAGTTACTTTATTTTCACACTATTGTTTTTATCGTCCCTTGTTTCTGTTTCGTCTTCGTCTTCCTCCGCTTATCCGGGTCCGGGTCGCGGGGGCAGCATCCCAACTAGGGAGCTCCAGGCCGTCCTCTCCCCGGCCTTGTCCACCAGCTCCTCCGGCAGGACCCCAAGGCGTTCCCGGACCAGATTGGAGATGTAACCTCTCCAACATGTCCTGGGTCGACCCAGGGGCCTCCTGCCGGCAGGACATGCCCGAAACACCTCCCCGGGGAGGCGTCCAGGAGGCATCCTGACCAGATGCCCAAACCACCTCAACTGGCTCCTTTCGATCCGGAGGAGCAGCGGTTCTACTCCGAGTCCCTCCCGAATGTCCGAGCTCCTCACCCTATCTCTAAGGCTGAGCCCAGCCACCCTACGGAGGAAACTCATTTCGGCCGCTTGTATCCGCGATCTCGTTCTTTCGGTCATTACCCAAAGCTCATGACCATAGGTGAGGATTGGGACGTAGATCGACCGGTAAATCGAGAGCCTGGCTTTCTGGCTCAGCTCCCTCTTCCCCACGACAGATCGGCTCAGCGTCCGCATCACTGCAGACGCCGAACCAATCCGCCTGTCGATCTCCCGATCCCTCCTACCCTCACTCGTGAACAAGACCCCGAGATACTTAAACTCCTCCACTTGAGGTAGGACCTCTCCCCCGACCCGGAGGTGGCAAGCCACCCTTTTCCGGTCGAGAACCATGGTCTCAGATTTGGAGGTGCTGATCCTCATCCCAGCCGCTTCACATTCGGCCGCGAACCTACCCAGCAAGAGCTGAAGGTCAGAGCTGGATGAAGCTAGGAGGACCACATCATCCGCAAAAAGCAGAGACGAGATTCTCCTTCCACCAAACTCGACACACTCCACACCACGGCTGCGCCTAGAAATTCTGTCCATAAAAGTGATGAACAGAACCGGTGACAAAGGGCAGCCCTGGCGGAGTCCAACCCTCACTGGGAACAGGTCCGACTTACTACCGGCTATGCGGACCAAACTCACGCTCCTCTGGTAAAGGGACTGAATGGCCCTTAACAGAAAGCCACCCACCCCATACTCCTGGAGCGTCCCCCACAGGGTGCCCCTGGGGACACGGTCATAAGCCTTCTCCAAATCCACAAAGCACATGTGGATTGGTTGGGCAAACTCCCATGCCCCCTCCATCACCCTTGCAAGGGTATAGAGCTGGTCCACAGTTCCACGGCCAGGACGAAAACCACATTGCTCCTCCTCTATCTGAGATTCAACTATCGATCGGACCCTCCTCTCCAGTACCTTGGAGTAGACCTTTCCAGGGAGGCTGAGGAGTGTGATCCCCCTATAGTTGGAACACACCCTCAGGTCACCCTTCTTAAAGATGGGGACCACCACCCCGGTCTGCCACTCCCTAGGAACTGCCCCCGATGACCACGCAATGTTGTAGAGACGTGTCAACCATGACAGCCCTACAACATCCATAGCCTTGAGATACCCAGGACGAACCTCATCCGCCCCCGGGGCTCCGCCGCTGTATAGTTGTTTGACTACCTCAGCAACTTCTGCCCCCGAGATCGGACAGTCCATCCCCAGGCCTCCCAGCTCTGGTTCCTCCTCGGAATGCGCATTGGTGGGATTGAGGAGAAAGTATTCCTTCCACCGTCCGACTATAGCCTCAGTTGACGTCAGCAGCTCCCCATCCCCACTGTAAACAGTGTGAGCGAGTTGCTGCCTTCCTCTCCTGAGGCGCCGGACAGTTTGCCAGAACCTCTTTGGAGCCGATCGATAGTCTTTCTCCATGGCCTCACCAAACTCCTCCCACGCCCGAGATTTTGCCTCGGCAACTGCCACTGCTGCACCCCGCTTGGCTATCCGGTACCTGTCTGCTGCCTCCGGAGACCCACAGACCAGCCACGCCCTGTAGGCGTCCTTCTTCAGCCTGACGGCTCCCCGAACCTCTGGTGTCCACCAGCAGGTACGGGGGTTGCCACCACGACTGGCACCGGCCACCTTACGACCACAGCTAGCAACAGCCGCCTCGACAATCGCAATTGTTTCTGTTCTCATGGTTATTTGTCTCTTGAGCTTTAGTCATATTGTGCTCATTTCATTTTTATCTCATCTGTAAAATGCTTTTCTACCTATCTAAGAGTCCGGAATAAAGAAAACTTGACTTGACTTGACTCCTCTGACCAAGGCCTGCTCGCTGTCCCTCGGTCTAGGTGTCGTACCCGTGGGGACCGGGCTTTCTCAGTCCTAGCACCGTTACTCTGGAACCAGTTGCCACCCTCAGTTAGGCTGTCCCCTTCTCTGCCAGTCTTTAAGAATCACCTAAAAACACACCTCCTCCGCTTGGCTTTTCCAGGACATGTTTGATTTTGGCCCTCTATTATGTTGAATCCATTCCACAGTTTTCATTGGTACACTCAATCCATCCACTCAATCCAATTGTGTTTCACACATTTGTATTTTACCGGAATGTTTCATCTATCTTGTTATTTCCATTTTGTATTTTGTAATTTGTATTTTGTAATTTGAATTTCTTTTATTGTTGATTTGTTCAGTATAATTACTTACAACTGTACCATGTTCAGCGCTTTGGGCTTCCTGACAGGGTTGCGGAAGGCGCTTTATAAATAAAGCTTTGATTGATTGATTGATTGATTGATTTACTTCTGGTTGTGCGTTCAGGTCATTATAACTCCATCTCCCACAATCCTTCACTTCTGCCAGTGACGTCACACAGATCCCGGATCCGGCGCAGCCCCCTGTCAGTTGCTGCGTGGGTTTCTCAGAAACTTGGTTTTTGAAGAACTTCGCCACCTTTATGACCTGATCTCAGATCTGTTCTTTACCCAGCCCGATGTGAGTCCTGCGTTTACTTTGGGGTTTTAGGCCGTAAAGTTAGTTTTAAAAGTGAAGCTAGCTGGGTGATTAGCTGCATGGCTCAGACTACTTGCTGGAAAACAACAACACGGTGATTCCTGCTGTGAGTGTTCAAGTGAGTTCCTGGTTTAGTTTAAGTTCTTTATAAACTATTTGAGTTTGTGTTCATCTAGTTTTAGTAAAAGCTTGTTTACACCGCGCGCGTGTGTGTGCATAGTCGGACACCATGACACCACCACTACTGCTGGTGTCAGTTGGAGGAAGAGGAAGAGGAAGGAGGCGATGATGATGATGATGATGATGATGACATGCAGTTTACTGGCTGCCTGGCTAGCTGACGGACAGACCGAAGCGCGGGCAGAGTGAGAGGAGTCTCCCAGAGAGCAGCTTGGTGTCCAGGGCAGAAAGAGGACAGAATGCCGCGGAGGAAACAGTCCAACCCCCAGCCGCTGAAATGTGAGTTTACCTGCAGCTCTCTGACTTTCCGGTCTGTTGTCCACAGCTGACCCCCCCCCCCCCCCCCCCCCCCCCCCCCGGAATCTTCATTTAGTGTCCAAAAATATGAAGAGTCAATATTTCATCTTCGCTAAATAAAAGTTTCTTCTTTAATAGAAGCAGGAAGTTTTCTGAGAGCTCATCTGTTAGAAGGACAACCTGTTGAACTGGTTCAGCTTACTGCAGGCTCGGTTCCTTCCTTCCTCTTTATTTGTCACAGATGAAGGCTGGACGTCTTATCTCATCCTGACTTGCCACCTCCAGTCTTCCTCCTCGCTGCTTCCTGCCTCCACTTCCTGGCCTCCCTCTGCTCCTCCTCTTCTGCCATCGTCCTTCCTCTCTTTCTTTCACCATTTCCTGTTTAATTTCTCTTCCATTTAGCAACTTGACCTTCAGTTTGTGTACATTAACACGCAGGTTTCATTCCTCTTGTTGATGATGGCTAGCTTTGTGAAAACTCTAATCTGGTCTTCTTCCATCCTTGTCTTCAGATCAGATTAAGAATCTTCTGGAAATCTATGAATCAGCTTCTATTTGACTTTTTGATGCTTATTTAAATATTCTGGTTAGAAATGTTGAATAAAACTAAAATAAAAAGAGGAAAAACACCTTTTTTGCTCCATTCAGATATTTTGTCTTCATGAGTTAATGCTATTAGAGGATGGAAAAGATTTAGTAAAAATAAAATAAAAAATACATCTCTTCAGGGTCAAGTTTGACTTCTCTTTTTTGTCCTGACTCACTTATCATCCTCCTCCCACACTTATCTCATCCTCACTGATTTCCTCTTACTGTCTGCCACCATCACCTCCTCCTCCCAGTCTCGCTATCCTTCTTCTTCACCTCTTTAATCCTTCTCTACATTTTACTCACTTTTTACAACAACTTTCTGCAGCCAGGTTTACCACATTTTGGTTTCAGACTCATTTTAATGGCATTTGTTGTCTTTTCTGAGGACAACTGAACGAGAGCATTAAAACACAAATTTTGTATTAAATATCTTCACCTGGAAACAAACGGATGTTTATTAGTTAACTTTGGTGTGTTTTTAGTGGAGTCGGAGGCCGGGGCTTGTGATCCGAGCTGCTTGGGCCTGGCGAGCGACTTCCTGCTGAACGGAGAGCTGGCGTTTGGAGACTCCGAGATCATCGGGCTGGACGGAGAGTCGGGTTGGTGATATTCGTACATCAGGATGTTAAAGACCACTTCCATTTAGAAATTATATTTTACTTGTTATTTATGAAATACAATCAGTTTCACTGACATAAAGGCAGAACATGAAAGTAGTCTCCTACCATCGACATAAATGTCTCCTACACCTATCTCCTGCATTAGCTGCTGATAGAAAATACATGGGGAAACTCAGATTTGAAAATCCTGACAGATCTACATCACACTGAAAATTAACATTCATGGACTCACCCATCTTGACTCGCGATGAGGAAGTTTGTTTTTGGTTTAGCGTCCAGGAAACAGCAGAGAGCGTCTCGACTACCAGAAGCTAACCATTAGCATTAGCACATGACAGCACTTCAATTCAAGTTTATTTATAAAGCGCCAAATCACGACAAGAGTCATCTCAAGGCACTTCACATAGGAAGCATTCCAATACAGGTCAGTTCATTAAGCCAATCAGAAAAAAGTTTCCTATATAAGGAACCCAGCAGGTTGTATCGAGTCACTGACTAGTGTCGGAGTCTTTACAGCAATCCTCATACTAAGCAAGCATTTAGCGACAGTGGAGAGGAAAACTCCCTTTTAACAGGAAGAAACCTCCAGAGGATCCTGGCTCAGTATAATAATAATAATAATAATAGATTTTATTTGTAACGCACTTTACATTTCAATGAAATCTCAAAGTGCTAGCCACAAATAAATAAATAAGCAGCCATCCACCATGACTCACTGGGGATCGAGAAGACAGAGCAGACACACACACACACACACACACACACACATTTGTGGAGATGAATCAATGTTGCCAAGTAAACAGAGTCAGTGGTAGAGTCACTGGCTGATTGGATAACAGTCACGCTGCTGTTATCCAATCAGAGGTGAGATGTCCAAATATCAGGAAATAAGACTCTAAATCCTATTGTCTTCAACTCCCCACTCCTCTGGTTCACTTCTAGCTCCTGAGGAGCGTGAGAACTTTTTTCCCACAGAACTCAACTCACAGGTTATTCATCTATACTAGAGGCCACTGGAAATGTTTTGGGTTGTGCCCCCTCCCCCCACCTCACCGGTGGCAAAGAGACCCGTTTGTCTCCTCATCCAGAACTTGCAGATGATGCTTAGATCATCCAGTTAAGCCAAAATCTGACTGATGACATCTTAAGTTATAACCTTCTCTGAGTTTGACTTTTATTTCTTAAGCAGTTTAATGAAGAAATGTTTTAAAATTATAAATGTTATGAATTGTACTTTAATAATGAAAATGTTAAATAATCTTTTTATTTCAAACAACAAGAAGAAAATTGGAAAGATTTTGAACAAAAACAATCAACGTTTTAGAACTTTTTTATGTTTGATGTCTTCCTACAGGTGTGTGTGTGTGTGTGTGTGTGTGTGTGTGTGTGTGTGTGTGTGTGTGTGTGTGTGTGTGTGTGTGTGTGTGTGTGTGTGTGTGTGTGTGTGTGTGTGTGTGTGTGTGTGTGTGTGTGTGTGTGTTAATCTGACTGTTTTCTTGATCATCTTCAGTGTTCCCTCTGAGCGTGGATGACAATACCTCAGCACCATCAGATTTCCCGGCGTTCCTGTCCTGTAAAGGATGCGGTCAGCTGTTGGGCGACACCCCTCTGGGGGCGGGGCTAGACCTCGGTAACAGCTATTTATATTTAACTTACTAATCCGGTTTTACATATGACTGTTTAGTCCTCGAGTAGCTACTCTTCTCTGAATGTATCTGTAATTTTCGTGCTTGGTAATTTTTATTTTTCTAGGTGTTGGTTTGGACTTGGGGGCGGAGCTTTACTGTCTCACCTGTGAGGAAGGCCTGCAGCACACCACCTCCATTGCCTCTTCTCAGAGTGAAAGCTCCACTCTATCTGACAGAAACGAGAGTGGACCTTCCACCAGGAGGAGGAGGAGTAAAGCGGGCGTCGCCAACATCTCCTCCAAACTTTACTCGTGCTCGCTGTGCGCCTTCACCTCGCATTACTCCAACCACCTGAAACGTCACATGAGGATCCACGATGGCAACAAGCCATACCGCTGCCCTGTCTGCCCGTACGCCTCGGCCCAGCTTGTCAACCTGCAGCGCCACGCCCGGACCCACACCGGGGAGAAACCGTACTGCTGCCCGCAGTGCAACTACGCCTGCAGTTCTCTCGGAAACCTGCGGAGGCACCAGCGCATGCACGCTCAAGACCATCCACCAAGGAGGGAGACGAAACATGCAAGGAGGAGAAAAACGACGGATGCAGGTGAAGAAGGTAAGGATGGAAGCATTTAAAAAATAAATGGAATTAAGTTTGATTCTTGGTCATCTGAAGATTTATTCATTACAAAAAAACTGTTTTTTCAGAGCTGAAGGAAAAAGAAGATAAATATTTCTGAAGTTAGACTGATGTTATTCTCCATTGAGCTATGCCTCCAAAATGTAGTCTTGCACGTCCCATCATGCGTCTGTACTCAAACACAAGGTTCCGCAAACAGAAAGTAAAAAACTCAGTTTGAGCTGAAAAGAGGAAGAAGAAAAAGAGGAAGAGAACATTTCTGTGTCTGAATTTTGGACCTAACGCTGACCTCCTCAGGAGATTTTACACATCAGCTAACTATCAGGAAACAAATCTAATGAAACCGGGAAAGTTCAGGTGTTAGAGAAGAAAGAACAGCAGATAAGTCGTCTGCATGTGTGACTGAGTACATGGGACGAAGTGAAGTTTTGAGTGTAAAATGGGGAAAAAGTCAAAGTTTCCTGTAAAAATTAAAGTCTTGTTTCTGTTTGATTTAGTGATGTCAGATCTGACTCTGAGGGTGACCCAGGACTCGTCTTTCTTCCGAAACCTAGGGGCCCTTGGGCCTCCCTCTGGGCCCCTCCCAGTCCTCCTCTTCCCCCTGTGCTGTCGGGTGTGTGGCCTCACCCTAGAGGAGGCTGACCTGGATGGGGACAGACCCGAGGGGGAGATGGAGGGGGATGTGGACGGTGGACAGGTACGTTATGTTGGGAGGGAGGTTTTATGTGCCAGTATTTCTTGAGCCAGTCTGCTAAAATGACCCTTTACAGGTTTAATGAAAGGCCTCCCAGTCCCTATCTCTCCCTGAGGCCGGAATATTCCACTTGCAACTTCAGAGTTGCCGGTCCACTCTGTTGGACTTAGAAAAAAATAGAGCTGACATACCAGGCGCTGCAGTCTGTTTCCAGCCTGTTTCCTGCATGTTTAAGATCATGAACACAGCTGATTTGTTGGATTTAGTGATGAATCACTCCTGTAAACACTAATGAAGGCTGGGGAGATGTTTCAGCTGTTAGATTAAGGTGTTAAAAAGACAAACGCACAGCGAGGAGATAAGTTTAGCTTTTTGTTCCACAAACGGACACTAAGGGGTGCTAAAAGCATGCCAAAACAACCTAGTCACCCTTTAAATATAAACAGGTTCATTTTCAAAATGGGTCAGATGGGTTAGAGATCAGAAAATGTCTCAATTCTCATGTTTTTATGTTTTACTGCATTTTGAACCAATTAATCAGTAAAAATGTGAGGTAAACCAGCTGTTTGTTTTCTTACTGTCTAAATCCTAAAAACAGGTTTTTGACTATAAAACTAACTCTGAAGAATGGGATGTGAAACGGAACATTTGTGTGTAGAATTAGAAGATAAGCTTAAAGGCCTCATTCAATTAGAAACATACTTGTTCTATCTAAAGTCTGATTGGTCACTACGTTTCACATGCATGCTGAATGTGAACATCATCAAATCCAATCACCTTCATTAGCCTCAGAAAGAAAAAAGACAAGTACACTCAGAAAAGACCTATCTCTTCTATGTGACGGGGACAATTAGCATTCGAGGACTCGCCTACCTTGGCTCGGGACTGCAGAAGGCAGTGTTGACTTAGTCTTCAGGAGAGAGCATAGCACACCTCAGCTAGTAGATGCTAACCAGGCAGAAGCTAACACAAATCCACATGCAGAGTGGCTTCTCTGCCATCGTCATCACCGGACTCTTGACATCACAAAATCCCTGGAGACTTCAACGGTCATGGTTTTTAATCTGCCATTAAACCAAGAAGAAGAAGGAGGAAACCACGTTTGATATCACTGTTTGATGTCAATCCACTTCCAGGATTAAAGCCATGAAAAACACACCGTTGCATCTTGATAGATGCTGGGAGTAAATAAGCGTTTGTGTTGACCTAATCTCCATAGATATGAAATGAAATAGCTGAAATAGTCTTTTATTTTGAAAATTACTAGACATTTTAAACTGAAACAGTGATTTCCTGTCAAGCTCTACGTTAAATAGAGGCCGACCGATATATTAAATTTTTTCTATATTGGCTATCAGACGAAATTATTTTTAAAAATCGATAAAAATAAGGCACCTGTGCGGCCAACTGCCGCCACTACTAAAGTGAAGAAAGGACCCGAAGGACCCCAACACATCGTTTTTTTTTTTATGTTTTGTGTTTGTTTTATATTTGAAGTTCAATAAATATTAAGACATTTATTGACTTATTTAGTTTATATTGCACACATTGAGTGTTCAGTTGTCTTTCACAATCAATGTGCTGCTAAAACGTGTGTGTGTGTGTGTGTGTGTGTGTGTGTGTATACATATACAGGTCCTTCAAAAAAAATCAGCATATTGTGATAAAGTTCATTATTGTCTATAATGTACTGATAAACATTAGACTTTCATATATATTAGATTCATTACACACAACTGAAGTAGTTCAAGCCTTTTATTGTTTCTAATATTGGTGATTTTGGCACACAGCTCATGAAATCCCAAAATTCCTATCTCAAAAAATTAGCACATTTCATCCGACCAATAAAAGAAAAGTGTTTCTAATACAAAAACAGTCAACCTTCAAATAATTATGTTCAGTTATGCACTCAATACTTGGTCGGGAGTCCTTTTGCTGAAATAACTGCTTTAATGCGGCGTGGCATGGAGGCAATCAGCCTGTGGCACTGCTGAGGTGTTATGAAGGCCGAGGATGCTTCAATAGCAGCCTTAAGCTCATCCAGAGTGTTGGGTCTTGCGTCTCTCAACGTTCTCTTCACAATATCCCACAGATTCTCTACGGGGTTCAGGTCAGGAGAGTTGGCAGGCCAATTGATCACAGTAATACCATGGTCAGTAAACCATTTAGCAGTGGTTTTGGCGCTGTGAGCAGGTGCCAGGTCGTGCTGAAAAATGAAATCTTCATCTCCATAAAGCTTATCAGCAGATGGAAGCATGAAGTGCTCCAAAATCTCCTGATAGCTAGCTGCATTGACCCTGCCCTTGATAAAACACAGTGGACCAACACCAGCAGCTGACTTGGCACCCCAGACCATCACTGACTGTGGGTACTTGACACTGGACTTCAGGCATTTTGGCATTTCCCTCTGCCCAGTCTTCCTCCAGACTCTGGCACCTTGATTTCTGAATGACATGCAAAATTTGCTTTTATCCGAAAAACGTACTTTGGACCACTGAGCAACAGTCCAGTGCTGCTTCTCTGTAGCCCAGGTCAGGCGCTTCTGCCGCTGTTTCTGGTTCAAAAGTGTCTTGACCTGGGGAATGTGGCACCTGTAGCCCATTTCCTACACACGCCTGTACACGGTGGCTCTGGATGTTTCTACTCCAGACTCAGTCCGCTGCTTCCACAGGTCCCCCAAGGTCTGGAATCAGTCCTTCTCCACAATCTTCCTCAGGGTCCAGTCACCTCTTCTCATTTTGCAGCGTTTTCTGCCACACTTTTTCCTTCCCACAGACTTCTCACTGAGGTGCCTTGCTACAGCACTCTGGGAACAGCCTATTCATTCAGAAATTTCTTTCTGTGTATTACCCTCTTGCTCGAGGGTGTCAATGATGGCCTTCTGGACAGCAGTCAGGACGGCAGTCTTACCTTTGATTGCGGTTTTGAGTAATGAACCAGGCTGGGAGTTTTTAAAAGCCTCAGGAATCTTTTGCAGGTGTTTAAAGTTAATTAGTTGATTCAGATGATTAGGTTAATAACTCGTTTAGAGAACCTTTTCATGATATGCTAATTTTTTGAGATAGGAATTTTGGGTTTTCATGAGCTGTATGCCAAAATCATCATTATTAGAAACAATAAAAGGCTTGAACTACTTCAGTTGTGCATATTGTTATAAAGTTCATTATTTTATATATATATATATATATATATATATATCCATCCATTTTCATCTGCTTATCCGGAGTCGGGTCATGGGGGCTGTAGCCTAAAGCCTGATTCTTGCTTCTCCGTCAGCTCCGCAAGGGGCAGACACGCACGGATTGACGGAAGCATTTTGCCCTCAGACTTCTCCGGCGTCTCCTGGGGAGTGTTGCAAAGCAATTCCCCGCCAGGACAACAGAGGGCGTGGCACTGTTCTGTGGTATCCTGTCATGTATCGGTCCAAGATAGTGTGTTTATATTGTGTTTTTGAATACAAGACTTTTTAACACGGACAAATTTGTCTCATTCTCCTCCACCTCTTCATGCAAACAAAGCAGCAACGAATGTAAATTTATTTCTAATAATTGTTTGGTTATTTGTTTGAAAGTTGTTAAAAAAAAGGGGTTTTAAAAAAAGTATCACAGCGACCAGCATCCCAGCATGCTTTGCGGTCGATGATGCAATGCTCCCCGTCTCAATTAGGCAATTATTTGCACACTTGTGTACTACACACTCGAAGCCTTACAGAGCTCTTTCTCCAAGTGCACTTTGCTGAAGACTGCAGGGTGCAGTGTGAGTTTTGAGATTGGGCCTTATAATCCTTTGTTTTTCTGTCTCCGTTGAAAAATTTCTGTCCCTGAAAAAGGAGCCCCAGAGCTTTTATCCACAGAAAACAACTGGAAAGGAATTGTATTCATACTAGAGACCACAGCAGATTTATTTAGAAAGGTCAGAAGGTGTTCAGCAGCACCAGCAGTGGACCGAAGTGCTGCTTCTAAATTCTGATATTTAATAGTTTATGAAGTGGAATGTTCTTAGTTTATTTTCAATTCTAGGTGTATTTTTCTCTTAAAACCATCTTTTTCAAGCTGCAGAAACTCTGAGCCCGAGAGTCCAAACCCAGGGCTAAATGTCTCTAGATTGTTGCAGTAGACAGTGTAATGATGGCTGTTTCTCTGTTGTGTTTCTGAACTCCAGGTATGTTGCCGCTGCTCCTCGGAGGATGGGTCGGGGCCTCCGTGCAGCCCTGTGATTCCTGAGAGGACCCGGAGGGGTCTACATAACACCAAGCAGTACCGCTGTTCTCGCTGCCCTTTCCTGTCCCAATACCCCAACCACCTCACCCGTCACTCCCTCACCCACTCTGACGAAAAACCCCACCACTGTCCACACTGCGCCTACACCTCCTCACACCTGGACAACCTGAAGCGTCATATGCGCGTGCACACAGGTGAGAAACCCTACCAGTGCCCATCTTGCAGCTACGCCTGCGGAAACCTGGCCAACCTACGCCGCCACGAGCGCATCCACTCGGGCTCCAAACCGTTCCACTGCAGCATCTGCGGCTACTCGTGCAACCAGAGCATGAACCTGAAGAGGCACATGCTGCGCCACACGGGAGAGAAGCCGTATGCCTGTGCCGAGTGCGGCTACACCACGGGTCACTGGGACAACTACAAACGGCACCAGAGGAAGCATGGACACAACACGGACAGCTGGGACAAACACGTCCCCGTCAACGGGCTGAGCTGGAGCCGAGAGGCTGCAGAGGGGTCGTGTCAGGGTCAGCAGGAGCCTTAGATACACTGTGTGTGTGTGTGTGTGTGTGTGTGTGTGTGTGTGTGCGTGTGTGTGTGCGTGTGCGTGTGCGTGTGCGTGTGCGTGTGTGCGTGTGTGTGTGTGTTTGTAGTGAATACACTGGCTGAACTCCTCAGGTTGTTAAACTCAGGTGCCTTTTGTAACGGAATCAAAGTGATGTAACTAACCAAAGTTGTATTTTAATACACTGTTAGTAATTCACTTTTATAAACAGAAGAATAGGCTGTTTTTATCATCGGGGAGTTTAATTAAACACTCTGTATTGACTTTGAGACAAGAAAAGAGAGAGATATGGGATCGTTTAAGAATCTTTAATTTCTGAATTATAAATTCTAAATCTACCAGGACTACTCTGTGATGGATGAGAATGGATTCGGATGTTGTGTTGGTGCGTGTGTGTGAGTGTGTGTGTGTCTGGTTCAGATTCTCTAGGATGACGTAATCGAATCTGGTCGTCTTTGTTATGACTAGATATCACGAGGCTTATAAAGTGATGACATGAGCCGCTATTTTGCCGTGTACGTACCCAGTGGGGTCTCCCAAGTAGATCAGGAATTGCCAGGTCTGGAGACCTCGGATGTACGGTGGAGCTGTCGGTGCAGCGATCACAACGTTTCAAAGCCCGTCTGGAGGGTCGACCCAGTACCGTTCAGCGGCGTCAGCAGGTGCTCTTATTTTGAAAGGACGTCGTCTGGTTGTTAAACGACGAAAATCTCCCGTTTCACAGTTCTTAGTTTAAAGAAAACGCATCCGGCCAGGCTGCGCTTGTCTTTAGGATGATGGTGAATAGAACTGAAGTCAAAATGGAACTGACTTAAAATGGCGTTGCCTTGTTTTTATATCTCTGACTTGTTGACAAGTTTCAGTAAAGTAGATTGGACACTTGAAGTCAACACCAGATTCTCCTGCGGCAGCCGAAAGATCTGATTGGTTGGAACAATGTGTCATGCGTTTCTATGGAGATGAGGATCAGTATGTCTGCACCGTAGTCCTGGTTTCATTAAACATAATTCATGACATATTTATTTCACAGATCATTCACTTGATTATTGTTGATCAACATCTGTTTTGCTTAATAATTTTAATCACAAATAAAGTACTTTGATTAAGTAAAGCTTCTTCTTCTCCTTCGGACTCTTCTCCTGGAATGTAAACAGTCTGAGGAACAACCCGACCTTGGTTTTTCTACACGGTGTTATTGTGCCCAGGGGCCAGCTGTATGGAGTTGAAAACCATGAACTTCATAACCTTACACTTTAAACGACCATGTTACACTGATTTAACAAGGTGTGTGTGTGTGTGTGTGTGTGTGTGTGTGTGTGTGTGTGTGTGTGTGTGTGTGTGTGTGTGTGTGTGTGTGTGTGTGTGTGTGTGTGTGTGTGTGTGTGTGTGTGTGTGTGTGTGTGTGTGTGTGTGTGTGTGAGACACACACAACAGATTTTATATCTGAGCGTCCTCTGACTGCTCCTCTGGATGTTTTTTTTTTCTACAGAATATCTATAATCTACATTTGTACGTGTGAGAGAATCTCAGCAGCTTTGAGTTGTTTATTTAGAACATTTTATGGATTCTCAGCGGGTTTCTGTGGAGACGTCACCTCGTCTCTAGCTCACCGCTCTGTGCTTTCAGCTCCATTAGCAGAAATGAAATGGGTGGTGTGTATTTCCAGCTGAACAGGAAGTGATGTTTCAGCTCCTTGCTGCTTATTGAAGAGTTTATTTTGGTTGGTAGTTTGATTGCTACCTCCTGCTGTATCAGAAAGATCAAATAAACATAAAAATTTATATTTTGTTGTTTATTTTTAGGATTATTTGTTTAATTTTGTCAATAATGGACTTATTAATGAACAAAGCTGACGTGAGTTCCATTCCTGAGCATTTTTATCCTCAGAGCAACATTTTAATCTCAAACAAATCCAGTAAAACTTAATAAATCTAAATGTCTTTGTGACTTTGGGATTTTTTAACTCTTATAAAGCAAATGAGCTTTATTTTATGTTCCTTTGTTTCTTCACCTTTTACCCTTTTCTTCGCATTTATAGACACATATTGACTTTAAATTTAAATGTTTTTGTTTTCTTTCATTTTTATATAAAATTAGACAAATTTTTAATTAATTTTTTTTTATATTTGTAATTTTGTTTCTGTTAATGTGAGTAGATTACTCTGTAATAGATGCATTTTTTTTTCTTTTAAATCACATCAGATGCAGGTTCAGGTCTCAGGAGGTTAAAGAGTATTTTCTTCCTCATAAAACGAGATAAAGAATCGTTCGTGTTGCTCGGCTAAGTCCTCCTGATTCCTGGTCAGAACCTTAATGCAAACCATTACCTGGTTCAGTAGAAACTTCTGTGTTCTTCACACAATCTTGATCTCTTAAAAAAAGGAGCTGCTTCCTCTTTCAGCCTCTGTTTAGGAAGCACCTGGTGAAACGCCCAGAGGGGGTGGGACGTAGACTCGGAGGGGGATTTATGAGGGTTCACACTCAAATAATTCATTTCAGACACATGAAACCACTAAAACGATTTAAAAAAGGTCAGAGAGGAGGAGGTGAAGCCAGACGATGATGGGAGGTGAGGGGAGCGTGGTCAGCGGACCGGGACGGGACAGACTGATGAACCCTGTCATCACACGGGTACCGCCTGCATGTAAAGCAGCAGGGATCCTCCTGGGGGACAAGTCTACTGACACAAATAAGAGAAGAGCGTCGGTGAACAGCAGCAGCATGGGCATGGTGAGTCCCTTTTGTTTTTGATATGAACATCAACTATGTAGCTACAATTAAATGTAACACCATTTTTATTGAATTCTGATAAACGACACCCAGATGATTAAACTTTATGATTATTACAGAAAATCCAGTTGAACATCATTTCTATATATTTTTCTGAAGTTCTCATATGAAGCTAATTGTTAATGAAATCAGAATCGAAGTTTTCTTTACATTAGAAGCAAAAAGTGAACATCAGCTGGTTTAAAAGGACAACAACATTCTATATTTATTTTACATTCATTTATTTAAATGTGCTTCAAATTGTTTTCTTTTAGAAAATTTTGTTATATTATTTAATTTCCCTCTTGATTATGAAAGTGTTTTTGAATTTGAAATGAATGTACATTCAAACACGTGGAAACTTTCAGTTTTTGTGTGATTTTACAAAAATACATTCAGACATAAGTAAATTCTAATAAATATGAATGAATTTACTCTTAGAGGTAAAAACAATAGAAATGTTATACGTAATGTTGCACAACATTGATACTACTGTTAATTTATAATAAGCAATCATTATTGTCATGCTTCAAAATAAAATACCCTTTAGATTAATGTATCTCAAACATAAAGATTTTATTTTGTTAATTTTAAAATAGTGTGACCGTCGATCCGCAGACTCGTACTGGTCCTTGTTCCGATGTTACACTGTTGGAGTTTCTCCCTGCAGAAAAATTCCCACCCTAAGCTTTTTCCCGGAGACATTGTGGAATATCCCAGGAACAAATACTTCTCCCACTTTGGCATCTACTTTGGAGAGCGGGACGGCGTTCCCTACGTGGCTCACCTGACGTGTCGAGGTGCCGCAGACAAAAACTGAAAAATGACTTTTGATAAATCTGATAAAGAGAAATCACAGATGATGTTTTAGTTTAAATCTCAAGCTGCAGCTTTTTTTTCTGAAGCTTTTTTCAATCATGTTGTTTTCTCAAACCCAACAGATTCTGATACACAGATCCCTCTATTTGGGAGAGCACTGAGGTCAGAGGTCAAACTGGATCCTCTGGAGTTTCTGGGGGACAATTTTAAGGTAAAACATTAAGAAACTGATGCATAAAATTGTGATGGAACCCGCTCAGTTTAAAAGGAAGCTTCATTTACAAACAAACAAACAAATTAGGTAAAAAACATGCTGGATGGGACACACGCCCCCCGGGACTTCCACACGGTGGTGAAGCCTGCCATCGAAGACATGATAGGCCGGGAGGTGACATTTGACATCCTGTTTCACAACAGCGAGCACCAGGCCACACTCTTCAGATACGGAGTAAAGAAGTCCCAACAGGTGAGGTGGGCGGGGCACAAATACATCCACACCTGGTTTACTCGGGTGTGTTTAATATGTGTATGTGTGTTACAGATCGAGAAAATCTATGAACACATCCTGCCAGCCTGGAAGAAGCTGTTCGAAGAGAAGAAACTGTGACAGATCCTGTGTTCAGATTTCACCACTAGAGGGAGCTCTCAACTGAGATTAGTCTCAATGGTTCTTTGATTTTTTTCTTCAAAGATGTAAGTTTATTTTTCTGCCTTGGTATTTTCTTCTAACTCCAGCATAGTCCTCGCCGGCTCATCGTCACTTTTGACTAAATGTTAATAAACTCGAAAATACAGAAATAATTCAGGAATTTGTTTTAAATTGCAGAAACATTTAAATACATTTTAATCCTTTGAAATAGTCACTTAATGCTAAACATGACAAACTGGTGAGATTTTAAGGATAATAAGTGATCAGTCCTGTTAATGTGGTTTTCTTATAAAGTTGTCTGACATAAATTTTGTTGTGAAATTTGTTGATCGGAATTTGAACCCCAATCTTCCAGTCCCAGGGTGGACAAAGCATTAAAACATCAGAAATGATCAGTCTTTGGTGTGTTCTTGCTGTGTTGAAATTATAATTCCATCTTTTAGTTCTTTTTTAAACACAGAAAGGTTTTATTAACCCTCGTTTGCCGACTGCAAACTTCGTCAGGCTGAGGCTGATGGTAGCGTCACTTCCTACTCCGTTTATCTGCGGGCAGCAGAGGACGTTGTCGCCCTCTGCTGCCCGCTCTCCCCTCTCCGATGATGCAGTCCCATGCGCGATCCAACGAGTAAACTCCATCGTCTCTGTTCATGGTCCCACATCCACGTCTCCTTATCTCTATAGCGTCTTTCATCCATTTATTGTATTTCTGTTGTTCGGTGTTTATGATCCTTGTGTTGTCCCAGTCCATTACACGGTCTTCTCTTGTGCAGTGATCTGTTAAAGCTGACTTCTTGTTGTGCTTTCTGCTCCTTGTTTTGCTGCTCTTGTGTGTTTTCGACTTGTTTCTTTCTCGCACTCCTTTCTATGTTCTATTGTTCGTGTGTTGAGTTGGCGTCCGGTTTCTCCTATGTATGTTTTATTGCAGAGTTTGCATGGGATTTCGTAAACGACTCCACCTTTAAGTCCAGCTGATATTTTGTCTTTTGGGTGCACTAGTCTGTTTCTAACTGTTGTGTATGGTTTTGTTGGTGTGTTTATGTTGTGTTTTTTCATTGTTGCTCTTATTTTTTCTGTTATGCCTTTGATGTATGGTAGGGTTATCAATGGTTTTTGTTCTTGTCTTTCTGGGTTTCTGGTTCTTTGCTTAGGTCGTCCTTTTCTTTCTGTTGTTGTTTGTTGTTTTCCTTTGTTTATTGCCCATGTCGGGTATCTGCAGGTCTTTAAAGCGTGTTGTATGTGTTTGTCCTCTTGTTTACAATCTATTTCTTCTGTTACCATGTTTGCTCGGTGATATAATGTTCTGATTACTGACATTTTGTGTATGGTGGGGTGTTCTGATGTCCATAATAGATATTGGTCTGTGTGTGTTGGTTTCCTGTATGTGTTTATGTTTAGGGTCCCGTCGGTCTGCCTGGTTATTTTCATATCCATAAATGCTATACTGCCTTCTGTTTCTGAATCATGTGTGAACTTTGTGTTGCCTGTGTCGTTAATGTTATTCAAGTGTTGTGTTAGTGTTTCTGTTTGTCCTTTTGGTATGATTTCCAGTATGTCGTCCACGTGGCGTTTCCATAATTTTATTTTGCAGTTTGGGGGGGCAGTGGCTATGGCTTTTTGTTCTAGGTCTTCCATGAAAAACTCGTACAGGTTGGCTGATAACGGGTTACCCATGGCGAAGCCTTCCAGTTCCAGAGTGGGCAGCAGAGGGCGACAGCATCCTCTGCTGCCCACAGATAAACGGAGAAGGAAGTGACGCCACCATCAGCGTCAGCCTGACGAAGTTTGCAGCCGCAAACGAAACGTTGCAGGTAAATAAAACCTTTCAATGTTATCTCGGGGTCTTGGTCACGAGTGAGGGTAGGAGGGATCGGGAGATCGACAGGTGGATTGGTTCGGCGTCTGCAGTGATTCGGACGCTGAGCCGATCTGTCGTGGTGAAGAGGGAGCTGAGCCAGAAAGCCAGGCTCTCGATTTACCGGTCGATCTACGTCCCAATCCTCACCTATGGTCATGAGCTTTGGGTAATGACCGAAAGAATGAGATCGCGGATACAAGCGGCCGAAATGAGTTTCCTCCGTAGGTTGGCCGGGCTCAGCCTTAGAGATAGGGTGAGGAGCTCGGACATTCGGGAGGGACTCGGAGTAGAACCGCTGCTCCTCCGGGTTGAAAGGACCCAGTTGAGGTGGTTTGGGCATCTGGTCAGGATGCCTCCTGGACGCCTCCCTGGGGAGGTGTTTGGGGCATGTCCTGCCGGCAGAAGGCCCCCGGGTCGACCCAGGACACGTTGGAGAGGTTACATCTCCAATCTGGTCCGGGAATGCCTTGGGGTCCTGCCGGAGGAACTGGATTTTTAGTTTGCTTGGCACAACACACCTAACTGAAATTGAAGCAATTGTCACATTTTGCAAGAAGAAAGTATATGTATGCACGATAGGAGATATGCGATTTTTTTTTACCAAAAAGATTTTGTTTTTCCTTAAAGCAAAGTTAAAGATGATGTTTAGCTTAATCTCCTTTCTCAGAGAAAACAGTAAAGACTTCTCACTTGTGTTTAGTTCTTACGTGAACAGCCAAATTACTATTCTTAGCAAAATATTTACCACATATTTTACATGGACATGGCTTCTCAGCTGTGTGAGAAGTCAAACGACCATTATGATAGAAACATTTACAAGAAGATGTACATAAAAAGGGCTTCTCACCTGTGTGTGTTCATGTGAACAGTCAAGTGCTACTTTGAGAAAAATACTTTCCACAGATTTTACATGATAATACTTTATCACCTCTGTGAGTCATCTTGTGCCTTTTTAGTTTTAGACTGTCTACACTGACTTTGTGGCCTTTGCTTTTTTTTGCACCTTTTATTTTGTTTTGGTTCCTCCTTGCCATTGGATTCAGAGTTTTCATTCCTTCATCCATCCTGATCTTGCTTCTCAGCTTCAGTTGAGCTCTGACACAAGTGTTGGTTCCTTTAGAATTTTTGGCAGCCTGTTTCTTCTTGAAGGTAAGATTTTCCTGCTTCAGAATGAACAGTTCTTCATGTTGTGGGGAGTTTGGAGCAGGGGACACCTGGCAATAGCCTGAACTGGGGCAAGATCTCTCGCTTGCTCAGCTGGCCTGGAGTGAGCAAGGAGTAGCGCACAGATGGGCACTTAAAGGAGGAGTGCAAACATTCCTGTCTGGCTTGGACCAAGGACCACAGAGCAGCCAGGGAGGTTCATACTAACCCCTGGGTCAACAGAGCCACAGTGATGGTGCGGAAGAACTTGGGAGGAGCATCCAACGCTCTGGAGTACTTTGGGGGGTAGATGTCTTGTGGGGCTTTTAATTATTGTTCATGTTTTAATTATTTTGTGTTTTATTGCAGCCGAGGTTCCCAGTGGATGTGGGGAGCACACTGCAGTGGTGGTGATGTTCCCAGTGGATGTGGGGAGCACACTGCAGTGGTGGTGATGTGCAAGTATTAAAATTGAGCCGAGTGTGCACCAGCACCACTCAGCCATAAGGCCTTCAGCCGCAATGGCCAGGTGTCAATTTTACGTCTAATGTGGACCAGGTGTAAGTTGGAGGATTTAGCCTATCAGCGAGCGTCTAAGTAAGCAACAGCTTATATGTGCAGGCGGAGAAAATAACCTGACACTGCCTGTCTGAGAGGACCGGAGACGAGGGAGATAGGTATGGAAGGGATAGGGAGGACATGGACAGAAAAAACGAGACGTTTTCTCCATCTTTATTTTTCATTTAATCTTTTATTCTGTCTAATTAATTTTATCTCGATTGCTTTTTTGTTTGCTTTTTTGTTTGTTTTAGGTTTTCATCTCCCTGCTTTTCTTTCTAAATTTCTGAATACTATTTGAGTGTCAGTGTATTTCTTCTTTCCTTCCATCTTCCCTTTTGTCACAGTTTGGGTGCCATGGCAACACCTCCAGCCTTCTTGTGTGTCTCTATGAGCCACGATATCAGGATGTTGTTGGTCTCAGCTGGTTTGTCCATCTGAGTCCAGTGTCCAGACTCCTCAATGTGTCCTCTGCTCAGGTTTGGGATCTGAAGTCAGAAATCAGCAAACATCACATTCAGTTCTGATAACCTGGAATCTGCTGATTGGGTTCCTACCAGGTCCTCCATCTTGTTGGAGAGCGCTGGCAGCAGAACCGGATCTTTGCCCGCCGTCACCATCAGCGCCGGCATCAGAATCTAGATGGAAACAAACATTAAAGGATAAGGTCTGATTCTGGCTCCATCAGTGACTTTTACAAACCTTCCCATTGTGCTGCGAACACGTCCACTTCCAGTTGGCCTCCATGTTTCTATACCAGTTTAATGGGCCTCTAGGAGAAAATAAAGGAGAAAGATCAGCTTTTAATAAGTCTGACTCAAGAACCGATCTTCTGGATGGTTTTAATAACACCACTGTAGAACTAAAATGTCAGTCCAGTACTCGGGTCCTCCATCCTACATGTTTTAGAAGTTTATCTGCACCAAGAGAAATGTGATTCTCAAGACTTCTGTAGAATGCGGGGATCTGTCCAGGCGGTGATTCAGACTCTGGATCAGGAGTGGGAGCAGAGAAACAACTAAAGTCGTTAGGACAGGGTCCCTGGAGGTCCTGGTTAAACTCATTCCCATCATCTAAAACCTGAATCTTTAAAGCATCTCCACCTGAAGCCCTTCTCTCTGTACTGGCTGATGTAGTACTGCAGGTCGGCCTCCGTCAGCATGCAGCTCATGGGAATCTGCTCTGGTAGACCAACAAACAGACCTCCTGGATCACAAAACAAAACATGAGCTGATCCTCCAAGAGCACCTGAAGATTCAGTTCCTAGAAGCACTTCTGACCTCGAGCACAAACTCCTGCGGTGCTGAGAATAGGATGTTTCCCCTGAGGAAACATTTAGGAACCATTGTATTCTTCCTGGACTCACATGGTGACAAACATTGTGCTTTGACTCACCTTTTCACTGCTGCTGTAGAAGAAAATCTTAAAGGACCTCTCCAGATCCTTCTCCAGCTCAGACTCTGCTACACCCTGAAATACAAAGAACCGAACAAGAAGGAAATCCAGAAATCTGGTTAATTTTACTGAACAAAAATGTGAAACACTTTTAATTTTGCTACCATTTTTCATGAGGTGAACTCAAAGATCTGAAACATTTTCTAAACACACACACACACACACACACACACACACACACACACACACACACACACACACACACACACACACACACACACACACACACACACACAAAAAAAAGCTCTTAATAATCAAGCTCCATCATACATCAGTGACCTGATTGTTCCACATGTTCCTAACCGAGCACATCACTCTCAGACTGCAGGTTTACTGGTGGTTCCCAGAATATCTAAAAATAGGATGGGAGGCAGATCTTTTAGCTATCAGGCTCCTCTCTTGTGGAACCAACTCCCAGCTTTAGTCCATGAGGCAGACACCTTGTCTACTCTTAAGACTAGGCTTACAACATTTTTTATTTGATAGGGCCTATGATTAAAATCTGATGTTAGCCTAGATCTGGACAAGTGGGGGAGTAGAGGGAGGTGGAGTGTACAGTCGGTAAAGACGACTCTCCCTTGCCCTGCCTCCAACATGCTTCCATCTAAAAGGCTAGGTTATCCAGAGTTATCTCTGTAGTTATGCTGCTATAGGCTTAGACTGCTGGAGGATACACTGACCACTTTCCACACTCTACTACTTTGTTCTACAATCTGCTCTTTTGATCAACTCTGTGCGATGGAGATGTGTTGAACTGCACAAAGCGACTGGTGGCCACATCAGATATTGACTGGTTGCAGACACTCTTTAGCTTAGACTCATAATGAGATGAACAAATCTGTAACTCACTGGTGTCTGGAAGTAGATCTGATAATCAAAAATGGGAATGGCCTTGATTTTTGCCAAAGGAGGAACAGTAGGATCCGATGAGAACAGTGGAGTGTTCAGAGATGCCACGGCTCTGCATGGGAACAAAATATAAACATTTTTACTTCCATATTTACAAGCACCAGACTCTGATGAAAATGTGTTTCACCTGATTCTTTCTGGAAAGTAGCGAGCAAGGTTCCAAACAACCATGCCACCCCAGTCATGACCTACCAGGGTGACCTGTGGGATGGCCTAGAAAACAAACATGGCTCAGATAAGATGGATTTATTAGTTTATTTGCTTGCGTTGAAAGGAGCACGTGGGTTTTTAATTAACTCTCAGTGTAGGAGCCATATGTGTTGTTTTCATTTTCTATTAACTAAACATCTGCAGCTGATAAACATCTGGACTCGACCCAACTCAAAATGTCTGACAGTCAACCTTAGAAGACAGAAAACCAAATCAGATTTACAGATATTGAAATGAAACTTGACATGTTGTTAACAAACAACTGAAATGATTCTTCAAAGATTAAAACAAGACACCTATAAATACATATTTTCTAAACAGTGCTGGGAAGTAACAGAAAATGTGTAGCCCACTAGGGGTTGCATGACTTAATTTTTTTTAAAGTCGACAGTCAAGCAATGAAAATCGAGTCGACTTCGACTAGTCGTTGATGACATCATACACTGAAGCGGCGGCGGGGTGGGGTGGTGTGTGTGTGGGGGGGGGGGGGGGGGGGGATGGTTGGTTCGCTGGAGTTTTTGACAATTAAAATTGCGCCCACATTTTCAAAGTTAAACACATCTCTTTTAACAACGGTAGTTCCTGCTTCAGCCCTCTCCCCCCTCCCTCTGCGCATCCCCAGTGAGTCGTGGTGAAAGGCTGCACTGAGCCAGGTTCCTCTGGAGGTTTCTTCCTGTTAAAAGGGAATTTTCCTCTCCACTGTCGCTAAATGCTTGCTTAGTATGAGGATTGCTGTAAAGACTAAGAGACTAGTCGGTGACTCAATGCAATCTGCTGAGTTCCTTATATAGGAAACTTTTACTGATTGGCTTAATGAACTGAATTGTATTGGAGTGTTTACTTTGTTAAGTTTTTTGAGATGACACTTGTCATGATTTGGCGCTTTATAAATAAAGTGAATAGAATATAATTATTTAGAATACAGTTACTTTTTAAGATACCCTTGATAAACCTCTGACAGGTTGGCAGAAGGAATGTGAGAAATAAAGACTAGTTTCTTACCATTTTGTCCAGGAATGTGATTAAATCCTGCAAACATAACATATAAATGTTTGAATAAAGCCAACGTTTTTATTTTATTCTTTGCTGATGACTTTACTTTGCAGATCTGCTCCTGAGAATATTCCTCAATGTCTGAGAAAAGAAAGGACACAAAGTTACAGATGATGATGTCAATAAATTCCAAAGGTGTGGAACACTGAAAAAAACATTTTTAATTAATATTTCTCATTAAAATTGGTCAATCTGAGTTTTTAATGCAATCTGAACATGAAATTGTCTCCTATACCTATCTCCTGTCTTCTGATAGGAAATAGATTGTGAAGCCCTTGGATTTAAAATGCCTGACTGTTTAAATACATCACACTGTCACTTAACATTCATGGACTCAACCATTTTGACTCGTGATGGTGAAGGCCGGGAAACAGTACAGAACAGCTCTTTTTAGACGCACCATGCCGGTAAATCATAATAATAATGCTGCCATGGTGTGTCTTATGAACGCGCCGTGAAGGCATGACGAAGTGGGAACGTTGCAGCACTCTTGCTACAACGCTTGGTAGTAATATTGCTGCAATGCCGGATTTGTGAATGCATAGCCTTGGCACAACAGAGGGAGGTATCATGATCATGTGTGGAATTAATGTTGAGCTCTGCCTGGAAATTATATCAAAAATGAAAGTAAACACAGACAGTAGGTTTCACCATTTAAACAGTATCAGCTGAGATGATAATCTGGAGCAATGCAGAGCTCCAGAGTAGAGCCCTGCACGGGACTGTTTTCCTCATCCCGCTCCTGCTGAATTTCTGACCATTACCGCCCGCAACCGCAACGTGTGTGTTACACTCCCGCCCGCACCCGCAGTGTGCATGTCTACTCCCGCCCGCAACCGCAAAACTCGGAGAAATTATTAGGCTACCTCACAATAAAAGAGATGTATTGAGTTTGTGTCCTCTCTGGTCCTGGAGTAAACATGTCATTTTATAGGCTATACCAGGGGTCGGCAACTCGCGGCTCTTCCATCCATCTGATGCGGCTCTCTGTGCTTGTAAAGTAATGAATGGATATTTAAATAAAATGCTTTATACTTTACTTAATTAATTTTATATCTGTATGCCAATTCTAAATGTAAAGATTGTCTGCGTAAACCTGAACAGTTCCAACCCGGTCTTACTGTGAGACCGTGTTGACGGGTCACGCTTGTGCGTAATCATATAGGCGCTTTCTGAGCTGAAGAGGATGTGAGATTCTGGGATTCTCCTCAGACGGCTCCTGGATGTGTCGCCACATTGGAGACAGGAAAAAGCACTATTCAGCCAAAGTTTCATAATCAGGGAACATTTTCTAAGTGACAAGTCTCTCTGAGAGACAGGGTTTGGAAAACACTCGCTTCAGTGGGAGGAATCTTCCCGCATGCGCTCTGGTTCTGCAATGCGCTCCAAGCCCCTCTCCACATCTTCAGCTCACTGTGCACCTTACGTACGCGCTGACAGCGAGCTGCGCTGAGCAGTGTCCAGCTCAGATGTTCAGATGGGAAACTTTTCTTTGGTGATTTAGCTACATCTGCGATGTGCGTAACGAATAAAATGTCAGTTCGTCTGCATGCGTCGAGGTAATTCTTTCTATTCTTTCTCCGTCAAAATAAATGGTCAAATACGGGAACTGTCCGGTCAACCCAACACAAGCCCTGTTCTGTTTTCTTGTGAAAATTGTTGGAAAGAGATCAAATTGAACTTGATTACCACCAGAGCCAGTGCACCGTTATCTCCGTGACTGTAAATGAGAGAAGAACAAATTGATCGGATCCTGCACGTCTTTTAACACATTGGTCAGGATTGACCCACTTTGTTTTCATTTAGTTTTTAACCCTTTAACGCCGATGCGTCACCATGCAGGATCACCGGTGACGCATCGGCGCATGTGATTTCAAGTAACTCCTCGCTACTTAAACTATAAAATTCTTAAAAAAAAACATAAGGAGCTACTGTGTGGTGCTTAAAGGGTTAATGAAATCAAGGCCGTTTCATATTCTCTTCTCCTCTCTAATCAGGCAGTGATCGAGGTCGCTTTTCTAAGAGAGACCTGAATGAACTCTTAACACAATCGGAGAAACTCCTCCAAATGCCTGACTTGCCTTGCTTTGGAATTTTGTGTCAATAGACCTTGTTTCAGCTTCTTTTGAACATCAGTTGCCAACTCCATCATACTCATCCCGATCCCGCACTGTTTCTTTTAGCCGACCGTTCTCACCCGCAGCTAAATTCATACCACCCGCCCCCGCAAGATTTTTGTTGGGTCCCGTGGGACCCAGCGGGACCCAATCCCGATGCAGCCCTCTACTCCAGAACCTTCTTTCCATTAGAGCTGGAGATCAGATCACCTGACCGTTCATGGGGACTGTAAGTGACAGCCACCTTTAGGAGTGGCTTGTCAGAAAAAACTTCCTTAATCCCTTTAAGTTAATAGCCAATACATGTATAGAAATTTCAAATGTCTTCCTCATACATCCTCCTGCAGTGTCCTGGTCCTGTAGAATGATCCCTGGCATTTTTACTTAGATTGCCTCTGTATTCCTGTAAAATCACAAAAAAAAGAGCATGTTTGGGTCAAACAGGCTTGCTTCCCCACTGACTTCCAGAGGCATCACAATGAGTGATGACGTCATGCACGTTCACGTACAGGCCCATAGCGTTTCTATCTGTAGCTTAGCGGCAGAGCAGAGGCAGTGTTGCCAAAACGCTTCCCGGGGCAAGGGAAGAGAATGATAATCTGTGCATGTGCAGGAGGACTGATCGATCATAAACCTTTGTTGGCCGGGCCGACAAGAAAGGTACAATTGCAGAGCTGGAGATGGCAGATTTACTTGTCTAGCGTGTCAACTGTGCATCAGAGTACATTGTTTGTCTAATTTATTAGAATTGTATAAAACAGTCTAAACCTGTAAAATGCACCGGTACGGGACTGACTCAGCTATTGTTTTCGTTCAGGAGTGTGCACGTACAGCATGCGCGCCTCATGCATGAGGTTACTATTGAAGCTGCAGTTATGTGTTTGGCCTGAGGAGGCAATCGCGCGCAGAAAATGTTCAAACTCCTAAAAGTCATTTTAATGAGCACGACTTCAATCGCAATAAAAAGCAAGTTATGTCCAAGATAATCAGAAGTCCACGGCAGCACAGAGACCGCTCCCATACCCCCTTTATTCCGCCATCGTGTAATCTTTTGTAAAAGGGACACGACTGCGCCACATTACCACCAAACAGCATTGTGGGAAATTGGCGGCATTGTTTTCTAAAAGAGGGTAACGTGTCAGCTGGTAGGCGCTAATCGTTAACATTAGCAACTTCACCACACAGCAGAACTACTTCAGGCTTGTGTTATCTGTGGACATAAAGCATCCATGTCACAGAGCAAAGGGAGTCATCGGCAAAGTTGAGATGCTGTTATCCAATCCGTGGTGAGGTGTACAAATTTCAGGAAATAAGACTCCAAATTAGGGGTTGCATGACTTAATTTTTTTTAAAGTCGACAGTCAAGTAATGAAAATCGAGTCGACTTCGACTAGTCGTTGATGACGTCATACACCTGAAAGGGCGGGGGTTGGGGGGTTGGGGGGGGGGGGGGGGGGTTGGTTCGCTGGAGTTTTTGACAATTAAAATTGCGCCCACATTTTCAAAGTTAAACACATTTCTTTTAACAACGGTAGTTTCTGCTTCAGCCCTCTCCCCCCTCCCCCCTGCACAGCGGCCGCAAACTCACTGATGCGCCTGCAGCCTCTCAGAGTTCCTGCTGCTCTAAACATTAAAATAATTATTTCATTTTCTGTTCCTCACTTCTGATTACCTTCAATGGTGTCTGTTTGTTGCTACCAGCAGGTACAAAAACTAACTTGTTTTTATTTGACTATTTTTCTGTCCTGCCTGTTTATTATCTTCCTGCATCTCCTCTCAATCCTAAAGAGAAACTGCTACCTGGGTTCATATATATTCACCCTATGAGTTACCTTTGAACTGCAGTTCTAAAAGATCTACCGACCACAGAAACAGCGGAGTGCTCGCCGGCCGCAGTGCGTCACCGGAGGACAAAACAGATGATGCGCCCCGCTCCACAGCAGCAGGGTGCAACAGGCAAAAATAGAAAACATAAAAAGAAATGAGCCAACATGAACGATCGTGTTACATTTGTTTTTGAGGTGGTGACACCTGATTTGATAATGTTACTGTGGCCGTGCTCAGGACGCAGATGTCTGGAGCGTGTCAACGATCAGAGCTTTGCATACGCAAGCTGGTTAAGATTAGGATGGGGGTGAGGGGAAGGTTAAATTGCAAGAGGGTAATGGTCACAATTTGGTTAAATGTCCGTTTTACGGCGGGTGTCAGTACCGACGCTCTGGCACAGCGCGTCGCCTCCGCCTCGATCCAGACGCGCAGGGGCTTATCACCTGCTGTCTTTTCTGAGGACTGCATCTTGTCATTATCACGTGACAGCGACTAGTCGATGACAGGCATAAAAAGCCACTACAGAGCATTGAGGTCGACTAGTCGACTAGTTCATACAACCCCTACTCCAAATCCTGCCATGTTTAGCTCTTCCCTGATGTGGCATTCTGCTAGTTCCTTAAACCAGCACATCAGAGCTTTTCTTCCCCCGAGTACAACTTGTAAGGCATTCATTCATACTGGAGCACTGCAAATGTATTGATTAAACAAGTGTCCCACACCTTAAACAAATGATGCAATACTTATTTACCCACCAGGAGGCGCTGTGGACTCTCCATACCCCTTCATGTCAAGAGCCAGGACCCTAAAACCTGCTGCAGCCAAAGCTGGGATCTACCAGACAGAACTAAGTTATAAAAGCTGTTGCCGTAGTGATGCTGAGCACTGATGAAATGACCCAACTCACCTGGTACCTCCAGGAGTACCAGCTCTCAGGGAAGCCATGACACAGTAGAACAGGTGGACCAGATCCCATCTCCACGTAGTGGATCCTGACCCCCGGCTGAAAGAGAACGTTAAAACGTGTTCAGCTGTATTTATTCTGAATTAATGAGCAGCAGAAGGTGATTGAGGTCTTTACCTTGATGGAAATGTACCCATGAGACACCTGGTCGGGTGTACATGATAGAGGTCGACTTACTGCTCCAACAGCCTGGAAAACACAAACATCCCATCAAATAATTAATCCACATACAAAAACTTATTTTTATCATATCAGAAACCAGCTGCATCAGTAAAAAAACACTTGAAAATCCCTATGTGGGAACTTTCTACCGGAACTCCAGTGAAGTCAGACAGTTTCTCCAGAGCAGCTTCCAGGTTCTCCACCAGGATGGCCTTCATCCCTGTGCCCTCTGCTGCCTTCACACCCTCCTGGTCCACATCGAGCCACACAGCCTAAACAGGATTTGATTGGCTCAAATTTTACTTCACAAACAGATCAGATGTTTCTCTGATGAAGAACATTCTCCACCTGTTTGGGTGTGACTCCCAGCTGCTCCAGAGCAGAGCTGAACATGGCAGACCCTGGAACTCTGTGGCCTGTGTGACAGGACCGGAGGACCAGGTTAAAATGGCCGCCTAACAGACAGAGAAGATGAGCTGATTCGTCTCTGGTGTCGCTGTCATCTATCCAGAGATTGGCCAGAACAGCAGTCAGAACTCCTTCAAATCAAAGATAAAAGAATCATCTGTTTGTGATCAACTGTCTTTGCCATTGGACCAAACACTTTTGTGTCTTGCCAATCACAGCTCTCCAAGTTTGTTAGGCAAGCTCAACTCTAGAGCTGCAATGGTGAAAAACTACACCGATAGCGTTGGCTCAGGAACAGAGTTCGTCAGAAACATCTTTGACATCAACTTTGAATTATTTAGACATGAGCCTTTCTTTGAGACATGAGCAGACAAGGTACTCAAGTCCTTTATTTTGAAAATGGATTTGCATCCAGGGGTGTGTCCAGGGAGTGGTCTGGGGTAGCACATCCCACCCTTGAAATCTGATTGGCCATTCCAGGTGCCACTCCACTGAGATCTATTTAAATGTAATTTAAATTGTCCACAAAAGGCTTGGGCTTATAAACCCCAAAACAGTAGGTGGCAGCATGTACCCGTAGCATTGGTTTCCAACCACAGGCTCAGAACATTTTGGTATTTTTGTTCTTCATTATATTTTCACATTGACAAAAATAGTAATTAGAATACAGAGATGCTGTCAAGTGTCAGTCTGGACATTTAAAAAACAGCTAAAGACCCTTTTATTTAAAGCTGCTTTTACCTAAATCTTTTATTTTGAACTTGAATTTGTAATCTTTCATCTGTTTATGAAATTCTATAATTGTATGACTTCATTTTTTCTGATGTTAATCTATTTCTGTTTTGAGATCATTATGATTTTATGACTTTGTTTTATTTTGTTTTGATCTATGTGAAGCACTTTGTGATTCTATGTCTGTGATAAGTGCTATACGAATACAATTTCCTTACTTACTTAGGCCCTGTCCACACGTAGCCGGGGATCTGCCAAAACGTAGATATTGTTCTACGTTTTGGCCTGTCATCCACACGAAAACGGAGTTCTTTCACACGAAAACGGATCTTTTTTAAAACTCCGGCCAAAGTGAAGATCTGCGTTTTCTCCGTTTTGGGTGTCTGCGTGTGGACAGACAAAACCGGAGTTTTAAGGTCCGCAACGTCACTTTCCACGACAAAAAAATGCTGACATCACGTGTGCGACCTGTGTTTACACTAGCCGACAGCATGGATGTCCTCAGAGCTGCGCTCGCTTTATCAATTGTCCAAGCGCTTTTTGCCTGTTTGTTTTTGCAAGCGGAATTACTGCTCCCTGCGGAAGACCACAGACGAAGGACGAGGTTAAGAACGGGGGAAGTACTGCCGCCTACAGGTCTGGCATGTCCTTAACAACGAGGTGGTGTGGATGCAAGTTTTTGGAGGGGCGGATAACCCGGCTACATGTGGACTAGGCCTTACTGTCAAGCTGAAGAGAGTCCTATCAGATATTTTTGGCCTATGGGACTCTAGGGGCAGCTGAAAAACCATGGCAGTCCAAGCAGAATGTGGCTCAGATGATCAAGGAGGCAAAAACCCGGGCATGGGAGGAGTTTGGTGAGACTATGGAGTAGGACTTCCATACGGCTTCAAGGAGATTCTGGTCCACTATCCGACACCTCAGGAGGCAGTGCACTACCAACTCTGTTTATAGTGGAGATGGTGTGCTGCTGAAATTAACACGGGACATTGTGGATCGGTGGGCGAAGTAATCTGGAGACTTCCTCAATCCCACCGGCACGTCTTCCAGTGAGGAAGCTGAGCTGCATCTTCAGTAATGGGAGCGTTGTACTGGTCTGTCATGGTGGTGAGACAGCTGAGCCAGAAGGTGAAGCTTTCGTTTTATCGGCCAATCTATGTTCCTATCCTCACCTATGGTCACGAACTTTGGGTAGTGACTGATAAAGAGACTGCAGACACAAGTGGCCAAAACAAGTTTTCTTCACAGGGTGGCTGGGCTCTCCCAAATGCCACTTACACATTAGCGTCGGTACGGTCTGGGGAGAATAGCTTCAGTTCAGTCTCCAACAGGCGGTGTGGTGTTCACATATAAATCCAATGGACTTCTCAGGAATGCAGAAATCCCCAAGCCCGTGGGCGGCGTTTAATACGAGCGAGAAAGTCCGTGGTGTTCTCCATAATCTGATAATCAAAGGCGGGCATGAACTGTGTTGTTTTTGGAGACTCTGGACCACATTATTTAATTAATTTGATGTGTGTGTCCTTCTCATAAAACTCTTGTCCTCTACTGTTGCGGGCCACACGTGCACTCTTTTCTCCTCCCACTGAGCGGCTGTCTGTCGGCTCGCTGGGGCACGAGCTCTGATGCAGAGGATAGGGACACACACACAGCTTTCTCTCTTCTCCCTTTCCCACTGAGCGGCAGCTCTGTGCTACAGACAGAGAAGTTTACTTAACAGCATTCAGCGTGAAAATGAATCGCGCTTGCAGGAGCCCCCCTCTTGTTGATTCTTCTCGCCAATCGGAAGCGGTAGGCATAATTTCAGCCGGCCAGCGTAGTAACACCTCGGTCTCAGTCGGATTGCTGGGGAGGTCAGAAAAAATGTCGCCTCAGACTGGAAAACGCATATCTGACCCAAGTGTAAAACCAAATTCCGGTTCCGTACCTAACCATGCCAACGCTAATGTGTAAGCGCCTTTGGAGATGGGGTGAGAAGCTTGGCCTTCCAGAAGGAGCTCGGAGTAGATCCACTGCTCCTCCAAATCAAGAGGAGTCAGTTAAGGTGGCTCGAGGATCTAGTTAAGATGCCTCCTGGACGCTTCCCTGGTGAGGTTTTCCAGGCACATCCAACTGGGAGGAGACCTAAAGGGAGACCCAGGACACGCTGGAGGGGCTATGTCTTTCAGCTGGCCAAGAAACGCCTTGGGATTACCCCGGAGGAGTTGCCCCAAGTGGCTGGGTAGAGGGAAGTCTAGGCTTCTCTATTCAGGCTGCTGTCCCTGCGACACGACCTCGGATAAGCAGAAGAGAATGAATGGATGGATGAGAATCCTGGTCCCAGTCCCACTCCACTCCATTTGGTGGCAGTATGCACTAAGATGTGGCATAATAACCACCACAGAACAGCTCAACGAATAAAAGAGAAAATTGGTCATGGCACAATATGAATCTCACAAATTGACTAAAATGACAAAAGAATGATTTTGTGAGGGATGACCATTGGTGTTGCCCATGCATTAATAAGTGCCCCAACTGGACCACCCCCTTGTAAAAGGTCCAGACACGCCATAGTGTGCTGCTTCTCCTTTGATGGTGTAAAGCAGTGCCCCGTTAACTGACCGATTGATCTTAGCACTGTTCAGTTATGTGAGGACACAGGTCACTTCACCTTCCTGAAATGCATTTCAGCCTCTCCAAGTTATTAACAATCCTTACCCCATCTATTGTAGACAGCTGTCATGAGTCGGGGTGAGTACTCCCGTCGCACATTCCATCTTTGAGTTGTTTTTCAGGAGAGGGAGGCGCCCAGCTGCTTCTGGTTAGCAATCAACGGCACTGGCTTCTTAAGGAGTTGGAGAACACACCTCGACGTGGGATGATTACTACTACTCGGTAGATTCCAGCCGTCTAGTGTTGCAGTGACTTTGTACCTCTTGTGTTTTTGGCTTATTATTCTCTGTGGATTTTTGTGCTTACGTCTCCTTCAGGATTTTTTTTTTAACATCTCTGGAGTAGAGCCTTCTCAGGATTCAGTGACTCATCAGGAAACTCACCTTTGCCACATAACTGTCTGGACTAAGCTTCCCAGTGTTCTCATCTCTCCAGTCGCCCCACTCCTCTGCTTCCCACATGCTCCCTCTCCTGGATTTACACACCTCGACTCACCCAACTATCGACCTGCCCCTCCCTAGTTCTCCTCATCTCCTTTGCCCAGTAAGTCCTATCTCTGCACCTCCTCAGTTAAGACTTGCTTCTCAGGACTCACCTTATTTTGCTTTCCCCTCCTCAGACGCTGAGTACGGACTTTGCTCATCCACTGGAAGCTCCAGTGCGCTTTTGTTCCCGTCTATTAATAAATACTTTTTTTATCTTTATTCCTGTGAGTGTGTTGATTCTGCATGTCCTGGGTTAAACTCCTTCCCCAGACCATGTCAACAGCATCCAAAACAAACAGCCTCTGCTCAAGAAATTATCTTACATTCTTCAGAATTGACTGTCACGTTGTGGGGATGGTTAGGACTCAAAATGCAGATTACCCAGACGACAAGAGGCAGGAGTTGATATAAAGTAAAAATCCTTTTATAGTAGGAACAAAAATAAATCCAAAGGCAGCGAGCCAAAAATCCAAAATCCAAAAACCGGAGAACAAAAGCTCACTCAGAGCACAAAACCTGGTGACTAGAACAAAGCTCGCTTAGAGCACAAAAACCTGGAGAACGAGATGCAAAGCTCACACAGAGCACCAAAACAACGCTGACAAACAACAATGGACCGACAAGACAATCAGTGCGTTTACGTGCAGCCAGTAACCCTTTTAAAACCCGAATATTCACAATAACCCGGTTCCGCAGGTCCTTGTAAACACCGCCAAAAACCCGGATATGCTCATAACCGGGTTTTTAAAAACCCGGTTACTACACCTGGGGTAACCCTTCTCTAACCCGAATGTTTGGTCGTGTAAACGCATACCGGGATATCCCCATCAAAGCGTGTGTTCTGCGCATGCTCTGTTCGCAAAGAATCTTGGTCTTTTGAGTAGCGAGACGTCTTGTATGTGCCAGAACACCGGAAGTAAACAACACGTTGGGGGCAAAATGGCGAGTCGCGGCACAGCACCACACTTTGAGTGACGAGGAAACTAAAGCGCAAACAAACGCGGTCACTATCTCTTCCGAACTGGGAAACATGTTGTTGTTTTCACGGACGTACTCACTGGACGTAGTCCATACGTCCTGACGCTACCCCAACGTCCGCATTTAAATCGGGTTATTCTGATCAACTCAGAAACCCGAATCCCGACCCTAACCCGATCATAACCCGGATATTGGCTGCATGTAAACGTACTGAATGAGACAAGACAGAGCTTATATACACTGGGACTGGAGTGATAGGAGACGAGGAGCAGGTGTGTGGGGAACTGGCACAGGTGAAACCATAATTAGAGGAGGAGCAGAGAAGGACACCAGACCTGACTGGGGAAGGACACACACACACACACACACACACACACACCGAGCTGGGAAAGGACACGCACACACACACACTGAAATAAAAGACATATATAAATTGAGGTGGGGAGACTAAGAGAAATGAAGAAAACCAGGAGGGAGCTGGGGACAAAAAGGCTGGAGCTACAAGAGAAGACACATAAATGAGACGCAGACAAAGGACACATGAGGGCGCTTATGAGACCCAACATGGGAACCTAGAGGATGGAGAACACGAGGAGACACATGAGGGAAGACGCAGACGTGACACATGACACTGATGACTTAACGATTGGTCTGATTTCTGCCATGAACAACGTGTATTTTATATTACATGATCACTTTTTCTGTAGTCATTTGTTTGGATGTCTCTGATTATTTGTATGGAATTCTGTGGTTATTTGTTTGGTGCAGCAACAGCTCAGGAAGTAGAGCGGGTTGTCCAGTAATCAGAAGACTCGTTCCCATGAGAATTCTGCTGTAGCGTCCTTGGGCAAGACACTTAACCCTGCCAGCCAGTGTTGGTCAGAGTGACTGGTGGCACCTGTCAGTGAGCCCCAGGGCAGCTGTAGCCACAATGTAGCTCATCACTGTCAGCGTGTGAATGTGTGTGTGAATGGGTGAATGATACTCTGTAGTGCAAAGCACTTTGGAGTCCTCTGACTCTGAAGGGCACTATACAAATGCGGGTCATTTGTATGGAATTCCATCAGAAGAAGATCAAAGAAATAACATTTTTAATTTACCGGCATTCAAGATAATACTCACAGTCACAAGGCATTTTATAAGCACCAATTTTTAAAAATATTAAGATAATTATAATAATATTATTAACAATTATTATTATTATTATTTTATATGTATTTAATAGAGCTGTAGCAAAGCGTCGATGGCGTCGACGGCTCGATTCTAAAAAATTGTCAACGTCAGATCCGGTAGTCGACGCACCACGCCCGCTTGTTGCATCCACAGGAGTTGGTAAATAGAGGAGGAATCTGCCTGTTTTTCCTCTAGTTCGCCCTCTTCTCCACCTTCACTAGCATCTCTGCCAAATACCGAAGAACCGGAACAATGTCCGTCCGCTACTAGATTCCTTTCTTGTTTTGCCCGCCTTCGTCTCCCGGCAACGGACAACAACTTCCGGGGTCAGATGCGCTGCTTCGTCTCTATCGCAGACGTAGAAAATCACCGGGAGCGTTTCTCCCTTCATAAAGGAGCTTCTTTCAGATATTAGGAGAGCTGTTTTGGTGGTAGCAGTCTCTCCTCTGTGCTGGTCTGTTTGCTGCTGGGAATTTTGGTTTATTTAAACTTGGTAACTTAAACTTAACGTTGGTAAAGCTACTGTTAGCATTTTCGCTAACAGCTTCTTGCGTTTAGATAAGCCGTTGCGTTTTGGTTTAGAGTTCATCTTTTTTGTGGTGTAGATCTCTCTTTTGTTACATTTAGAGTGTTGTGGGTTTTCGGTTTAGTTTAAAATATCACCTTGAGTTTGGTTTAACCGCCCAGTTTAGAGTTTGGACCTTTGGAGATCCTTATTTTGGTCCAGAACCCAGTAATCTTTGCCCAGTGGGACATCCCTAGTTATTTGTACTTTTGTTTTAATTCCCCACAGGCAGAATTAGTTTTGTTATTCCCTACCTGTGGATGGAAAGATTTATGATTTTTTTGTTGTTGTAAATAAACCTGATCATCATTTTAACTTTTAAATCCCATATTATTGTCCCCTCCTTTTTGCACACGAGCCAAACTCTCCAGGAAGAGTCGTAACACCACTCGTAAGTGACCAAAACAAAGCAGCATGGAGACACTCTGTCTCCAACCACCTCTAAGGCAGCAGCCTGCACTCCCAAGTTCTACACGTCACCAGAACATGACCAACCGCAACACAATAAAAGCAGTGAAATACAAAATGGAAGGCCTGTAGTGTTTATTCTCTTACAGTAACAATTTATCCATTGTTTGGAGGAATTTACTTTAGATGTTCTTGTTCTTATTAATTGTGCAATAAAAAATAATCACTAGATTAATCGTCTAAATAGTCACTAGAATAGTCGACTATTCGATAAAATAATCGTCAGAATAATCGTTTTAAAAATAATCGTTTACCCCCAGCCCTAGTATTTAAATATTATTAATAATATTATTTTATTAATATATCACATTTAAATCCTTTTTAAAGATAAATAAAAGTTTTGTGGTGATGCGATTAAAAAGTAGCCTGGCAAGCCAGACTATATATGTGAATATACATACTTTGCAAAGCAAGAATTTGGTCTAGTTCACTAGGCTAATTAAAAAGAGAAAAAGGAAACAAATCAGCAAGTACCTATTCTGTGTGTGTTAGGTGTAATTGTGTGAGGCGTCATGTACCATTATGACGCAGGCTGGCAGCTGTTTTCAGCACCGTATCTCTGATGTCCAGCATCGCCTTCCTAAATTCCTCCAGCAGAGTACTGACTGACCAATCAGATGGCAGCTTCACACCTCTGACCTCAGCCTCTTTCACACACTCAGCCTGGAATTCTGGGATCATCTAAAAACACACACCTTTAGTAAGAGAACAACATCAAAGCAGGTAAGAACCTGTGTGTGACTCACCTGAGTGAGGGCCACGTCTCCTCGTTCTGCTCGCATCATCACACCATCAGTCAGGGACAAAACACTGGACAGGAAACCTCTGAGAAGAAAAGGTAACAGGTTATGGACCGAGGTGGGTAGAGTAGTATTACTTTAATATATTTTTACTTGAGTAGAAAAAAGTAGCCAAAAAAGACTTTAGTAAGAGTAAAATGCTTTTTGGTTAAGGGACCACTCAAATAACTGATCATCACAGCTGATTTGTTTATATTAAAGTGATCGATAAAGTATTTCTGCAAATTCTTGTGGTTTAAAAATGAAATAAAAATAACTAATAAAGGCAGAAGGAACACATTTCCAGATGGTTCTTATTCACAACAAAGCTGTAGAAACTGTTTTTTCAGTAGGCCATGCATCTATGTTAGTCCAAGGTCCAAGTCCACAGTCCAAGGTACTGCCATTTACTGCATTTCTGAATAAAACCTGCTGGATCTTCATTCAGTGACATAACTAAAGGTTGTAAGGTAACTAGAGTGTGCTCAAGTAAAAGTAGTGATACTTCACTATAACTGTACTCAGGTAAAAGTAAACACTACAATGCAGTACAAGTTTTATGAGAAATACTTGAGTAAAGGTACTTGAGTACATGTAACTGGGTTACGAGTAACAGGTGTTGCTGTTGAACTTTGAGCAGAAACTAAACATCTGGTTGTTTTAGGTTTTGTGGAGGATTAGGAGTCTAGGGAATATTTTAACATTCTACATTATATATATATATATATATATATATATATATATATATATATATATATATATACATATATATGTGTGTGTGTGGAGAGAGAGAGAGAGAGAGAGAGAGAGAGAGAGAGAGAGAGAGAGAGAGAGAGAGAGAGAGTGAGAGAGAGAGATTTTCTTTGTGAAAGACTTTAAGCGAGTGAGCTACTTTTATGTCATCAATACATTTTAGACCCACTGGCAAAGCCACGTGTCTCTAAGTTGAAAACAGTCTGTTCTGAAATTAAACAAATTTTCAGGTAAGAAAGTCAAATTTTTCATCACAAATATTTTTTGCACAGTGTCCATTGTGTTACAATTGTTTGACTTGCATTAACTCTAGCAGCAGTTTCTCTTCTTTGATTTGATATCTAGCACAAGTGCTAGCTTTGAAGCTAAATGCTAAAAATGGTTAGCTTTTTAATGGTAACCTGGCATGGGATTGTTTGTAACAGATCTGAAAAGGTGTCACAACCATGTTGTCATTTTACATTGGTCTCAGTTTTACATCATGCCAGTGACGGATTTAAGCTGGGCGGACACTGTGCAACTTTTTCACTCGTAGCACTCAGCTTCAGCTCAAACTCTGCTATTTCTTCGCAGGGCAGATCTCACGAGTCATGTGCTCACAACATACGACCATCGACATTAATATACGACATTAGTGTACGACTATGTCCCAGTTCTCGGATGCGATCTGACTGCTCACACTGTACGTCTAGTAGCAACACGTCGGCCCTAAAAATATGCTAAAAATAGCAGTTTTTACTCAACATGTCAGACTTTTTGTCTTGTCTTGTCTGTTGTCCTTCGGGAGTGCTGCAGGAGGACACACAGGGATTTATGGGGGTTGGATGAGGAAAATGAAATAAAGTAAATCTGTGTTTTGTGATCAGTTTAATTTGACATGAACACGACAAACACGTTTTCTTGACAATCTTTGAGTAAAAAAATGTGTAGAAACAAAAACGAACAACGTGTGTTATTAGGGAAATAGCGGGCGAGCGGCGTTGATGCAGGATTGCGCATGCGCCGTGAGCGGTTCTGATACTTTTTGGGTCGCAGCTGCTCGCAGCGCCGCTTCAACAGTGCGATACCCTCACGAGGGACGAGCAAAATATTAAACACGCCAGAAGTTTGTGCGAGCTCACGATTGCTTATCGGTAGCTGGTCACGTGGTGTTAATCGCCTCTCGTAACCCCTGTACACTACACGACGCTCGGCGCAAAACTCGCCCCGATCTCGTGGATTCTCGCACGAGTGGAAAATCGGCTCTAAAAAGTGAAAAAGTTGCACAGTGTACGCCCGGCTTTAGCCATTTGGGGGCCCAAGGCAAACACAGACATGGGGCCCCTTACACAAAATTTTCGACAATCTTATCTTTAACTGGATTTGCAAAACTCTCCCCTCTTCTGACATGAGCTATTTTCCCGTTTTATGAGTCCTCCTATTTTTTTCTGTCTTTCTCTCCCTTTGAGCTCTTTCAATATTTGCTTTCTTCTTCCTGTCAGTGCTCCTGTGCTTTTGCCTCTATTTTTATTGTTTTCTATTTTCCATTTTGGTCTATGTTTTCCTCCCTTGAAACATTTTCTATAGTCTTTCCTTTCTGCTTCCTATTGATGTTTGCATAGAAAAACGACGTCACTTTTGGAAGTGAAGATGAAAGCTTTTTTGAAGCCAGCTGCTTCTTTCTCTTATTGGAGCCACTAGGATAACTCCATTTCATGCTTAACGTTTTGACTATCGCTTCGAGTTTGTTACGAACGCTCCCGCCTCTCTTCTTCTTCTGCTTTTTCTTCTTATTCTTATTTGTGGTCTTATGGCACTTGGCAAACAACGATTTGGTGCATTACCACCAACAACTGGATTGGAGTGGAATGACTACCATTTGCTTCCTGTTTGTGCATCAGCATCGTAAAGGAATAGTCCATTGTGGCATTAACAGAAAGGTACCGGCGGTCAGGGCTAGGGGGCCCACCAACATCAGGGGCCCCAGGCAGCCGCCAACCTATGGCTAATGGTAAAACCGCCACTGCATCGTGCCTAGGCAGTGGACACATACAGCCAGCGGTGTCCCTGCAGAAGAAGAAAAAGACAATCAAAAGGCTGATGACCAGTGATGGGAATAACACCGTTTAAAATAACGGCGTTACTAACGCGTTCTTTTTTGGGTAACGGAATGATATAATTAATTATTTTTCCCACTGTTGCAACGCCGTTACCGTTACTGGGGACGGAAAGTTGTGCGTTACTATGTGCTTGTCGAACGTTGTGCAACAGTGTGAGGCTTTCTGACCGCCACACTTCAGCTGCAGCCAGCGAGAGAGGTGTCGGTAACGCACTTACAAACACGATGATGATTGGCCATGTGGGCGGAGACCCTCACTGTCTCAGTCACTGCCTGCTGTAGACACAACAGAGCAGTGATGGGAACAATCATAATTTAAAATAACCGCGTTACTAAAAAATTTTTTTTTTCAGTAACGAGCAGTCTAATTAATTACCGTATTCTTTTATCAAAACATTGTTTCTGTTACTGATAAGAAAATACGTGCGTTAAGCAGCGCGGTGTGTTGAAGCTGTCATCAGCTGTTCAGGAGCTAAAGAGGCAGATGTTTTCATCCAAGCGCATCACGGCCCGTGAAGAACGAGGAAGACGTGATGAATAGTCTACGGCTGCAGGTGTGGATCTGCAGCCGTGCCCTTCTTACCCCAGGTTTCCACGGGAACCGTCAGCAGCACGTTACTGCAGCAGCACGTCTTGCTCGCGTAAGCTGCTGCTTGGCCCTTCCCACGAGACGCGAAACAGCAGGGGAGCAGCTGTCACCGACCGAGCACGAAGTCACACGAGTGACTTCGTCAGTAAACACAACAACAAGCAGGAGAAAACTACAACATGGTTTGTGTTTTATGTTCTGTCCGTTTTATAATCGCCAATACGGACCTGAAAAACAAAGGAGACTGCTAGCTAGGTGATAACTTCTCACGGGGACGCACAGTTAGTAACGTTTTTTAAAAGTAAAGCAACCGGAAGGCAGTACGTTCTTTATTCTGAAAATCTCCGGAGCTTCTCTCCATTTCCGCGTCCGATTTCCTGTCTTTCCTTCCCCAAAAATGTCGAACTTGACCCGTTTCAGAGGCGTCGCACGTAGAAAATAGAACCGGCGCGTAAGGGCCGCGACATGCTGCTCCTGAGACGCGGCCGACTCGCGCTGCTGACGGCTCCAGTGGAAAAGGTTCTGTTGACCACAGCGGTTCCTATCAGCAGCTATGACGTGCTGCTGCAGTAACGTGCTGCTGACTGCTCCGGTGGAAAGCCGGGGTTGGCGTGACAGCGGGACGTCCCGAAGGTCCGCTCACCTGTTCACCGCTCAGATGTCACGATCTTCTACCTTCCTAGATCATCCAGCTGTAACCTGTTTCTGAACATGTTTAGTCCCGCTGTAACACTGATGCATCAGTCTCAGACGTAATGGAGCTCAGGTGTTATTAGAACTACCTGTGTGTGTGTTTACCACCCAGCTTCAGCTCTTCTGTGGTTGGGTCTGACCCAAGTTAGTAAATGTAAGTCCTCCATCAGGCTTGTGCCTCTTCTAGTGTCATTTTAAAGGATTTTACTTATTTATTTACCCATTACTAGATTACCAGCAACAGAAATGCTACTAAAAACACACAATTATGTGAAGCTGGAAAAATTAAAATACTGTGCAAAATTACATTCATTTCTGTAATTTAACTAGACTGAGAGACCATTTAAAGGCTCGGGAAACTTTACAGGTGTTTCTATTTGCAATTTTAAATTTTAGCGGATTGGGGTCATGTTAAATATCACACAGTGACCTTTTAATTGTCTAGATTAGTGGAATTTTCCTGTTAGTAGTTCCTCCTGTTAAGTGCTTATTTATATAAATTATGCAGGTTTATAAAAAACATTTAGACATACATTTTATTATGTTCCAGTCATTTATATTTCACTATTGTAGTAATTTATAGTAAATTAAGTAAGTTTAATTAAGAGGGGAACCCATTTTTCTTGCATTCTTTAATGAAAAAAGAAACTAAGTAGTTATTTTTCTTGGTAATTAGTTACTTTTGTAATCTCGTAACTCAGTTAGTAACTGAGTTACTTTTTTGACAAAGTAATTAGTAACTATAACTAATTATTTTTTTAAAGTAACTTTCCCAACACTGCTGATGACACAAAAGATGCAGACTCGTAAGATGATGATGATGTCTGCATCTTGTGCTTGGAGCACTTTAGCTCATAGCCAAGGGAAGAGTGATCAGATGTCACCATTTCACATTTTGGGCACAAACTGTCATGGTCTGTGTCTGCGTCTCCCTCATGTATCTCCTTGTGTGCTCCATTCCCCTCTAAGGCCCTGTCCACACGTAGCCGGGGATCTGCCAAAACGTAGATATTTTTCTACGTTTTGGCCTGTCATCCACACGAAAACAGAGTTTTTTCACACGATAACGGATCTTTTTAAAAACTCCGGCCAAAGTGAAGATCGGCGTTTTCTCCGTTTTGGGTGTCTGTATGTGGACAGACAAAACCGGAGTTTTAAGGCCCACAATGTCACTTTCCGCGACAAATAAAATGCTGACATCACGTGTGCGACCTGTGTTTACACTAGCCGACAGCATGGATGCCCTCAGAGCTGCGCTCGCTTTATCAATTGTCCAAGCGCTTTTTGCTTGTTTGTTTTTGCAAGTGGAATTACTGCTCCTTGCGGAAGACCACAGACTGGCATGTCCTTAACAACGTATTTATCCGGGTACGTGTGGACAGAGTTTTTTTTTTAAACGAGGTGGTGTGGATGCAAGTTTTTGGAGGGGCGGATATTTGTTTTTTTTAAAACCCGGCTACGTGTGGACTAGGCCTAAGAATCCCCCTTATGTCTCTCTTTGTGTTCCTCATGTGTCCCCAGGTCTTCAGCCCTTCAGATATTCCCTCCCAGGTCCTGTGTTCCTTCGGTCTTCCCCAGTCACCCCTCTGCAGTTTTTTATAGGTTCAGCTTCTCTTTTTATTAGTCTCTTTAGTATGTTTTCCCACAGGCTTTTGTAGTTTTCCTTCCCCTTAGAATATTAGTTATTTTGCTGCATCTTCTTGTCTTTAGGTTTTTTACTCTTAGGTCATGTTAGTTTCTTCCCTGATTAGTAACTCTGTTCACCTGGTCTCTCTCCCCACACACCTGCAGGTCATCTCCCTCTCATCCTCCCCAGTGTATAAAGCCCTGTCTGTGTTACAGTGTCTGATCGGTCCATTGTGTTTGTGTCAGCGTTGTTTTGTGCTCCATGTGAGCTTTTGCACCTTGTCTATAGGTTTTGTGCTCTGAGTGAGCTTTTGTCCTCGATTCTTGGTTTGTGCTCTATGTTGAGCTTTCGTCCTCCTGGTATTCAGGACTTTGGTTTTTTGGCTTCCTGCCATTTTGGATTTGTTTTGGTTCATCCCCTAATAAAAAGGATTTGACCTTAAACCGCTCCTGCCTCGTGTCATCTGGGGTAATCTACATCTTGGGTCTTAACAACCTCCTCCTAACCTTCAACGTGACACAAGCTCGTGAATCAAAGTGTTTCTGTACATTTATTAGTGTGGATCTTTTTAAGCATAATAGTTTAACTGTTACATCCATCCCCAGCAGTGTTACAACCACCTCTTTGTATTTAACAGTAATTTAACCAACTGATCGGTGATAATGAGACAAATGTGGTACCACATGATAAAAATAGCCTCTCTACAACAAAGAACCACTGAGATACATTTGCTCCAATCAAAAGTGTAACCATCCCTGGTCTCCACTTTATTTCCTTTAGGATCTTTGAACAAATCACTGTGAAAAGTTCCGTCATGCTTTCATGTCTGACAGGTCAGACAGAAGCCTGTGCAGGCTTTTTAGGTCTTGTGCATCTCCCAAGTTAAGGGTTGGTAAATATTTTTCCGCTAATCAGACCTTTTTAAACAAACGGACAGTGTAGAAAACACGTTCACAGCCGCAGCGTTATGAAACGGTGACCTCTCACCCAGAAAGCCCGAGCTGCTCCTCCAGTCTGCAGCAGACCGAACCGGGCACCGACGGGACCAGAACCCCCCAGAAGTTAAACAGCACCGCTTTCCTCTCCGCCATGGCAGCTCTTCGGTTTATTCTGCAAGCGATCCGGTGTGAGTGTGTCTGATACAGGACTGGCTGTCCACCCTCGCGCTGAGCGTAGGACCAGGGGCGTAGCACCAAATTCTGGGCCCTAGGTACAAGTCTTCTAGGTGGGCCCCCATGCTCAATTACTTAATATCTCTCTGACACATTTTTTGTCATGCTATAAGACAAGATAATAAATATGATCTTAGTTTAACCTCTATATTGAGCAAATACAAATGCCAGCATAATAAAAGTGAAATGCCAAGGCTTCACATATAATTATTTTTATTTGCCAACAATGTGTTCAAACAAAAATCCTGGAATTTATTTTCCTGTAAATGCCCACTGACAGGTCTTCATGTTAGCAAAATCACTTATGAGATCTTTAAAGTCCAATCCTTTGGCTAATTGGCTTTCAATAGAAAAAAGAACTAGGCTGTTCAGTCTATCCTGAGACATTGTTGATCTCAAATAATTTTTCACCAGTTTCAGTTTGCTAAAAGCCCGTTCACCCCAGCAACAGTCACAGGCAGTGTGCAAAAAATCCTCAGTCCAATACAAACTTCTCCAAAAATGCTCTGTAATTGCATCCTGTATGGCATTAAGCAGCTCAAGAGGAGACCGAATGTGTGGAAATGTGGCACCATATATTGTTCTCAGGTGTAGCATCTCATTCTCAAATTCAGCTGTGAGATCCTTGTAATATTTTCTCATCAGTGCCTGGCATGATGTCTTCATCTGCTCTTCAGTCATGTCTGTCATGGTTCATGATGTTAAGCTTTGCTAATACTTATATGTATTGATATATTAAATACATATGACATGAAATAAACCAGGTTCTCTCTGTGAATGTAATGTACTCTAAATTTTATAATCCCTGCATTATCAGCCAAATTATAAGATTGTCCGTTTTCAAGATCAAATATAAAGAAATTTAAAATAGGCTTAAAATATCTAACCAAGTCAATAACAATCCTCTAACACCAGTGTCATCATGCTATACGAAAAACAGTGGCAGCTTCTCATTCCTGAGATTACCACGAATCCATCGATACCAAGTTTGTCCTGGTCCATGACTGGGAAGGAGCTGAAATATCCACACAGAGTGAACCTGTTTTTACTGCGAGGTCCGCGAATTAATTGGCGGCGGCCGCCCGCGATAATAATTCTGATTTTAATATATATATATATATATATATATATATATATATATATATATATACATATATATATTAGGGATGAGCGAGTACACCACTATCTGTATCTGTACTCGGAATGGGCGTGGCATAACCCGGAAGTGGGCGTGGTTTAACCGGAAGTGGACATGGTTTACATCAATGTATTATTTTAAGTCTGAAATTTATATGGATTGATCAGAAGTTGCTATGTGTATTGTTTATTTGAAAACTATTTACAGAGCAGCCTCAGAAGTGAGATTAAATATTTTTGATCACAATAGTAAAGAAACTATTACAGAAAAAGTGTTTCAATAAAATCAGAACATTAATATTTGAGTGCATGGATTAATACATCTGAACCCATGCAGTAGGAACTAGGAAATATGAAATGCTAGAACCAGACACAACTTTATATTTTTTTTTTTTTAATTTGATTAAACTGATTTTTTTTCTTAACGTTCTTGGCATTTTCCCACACAAAGTTTAACAAAGAAATGTTGATTAATGTGTGTGTGTGAGTGTGTGTGAGAGAGAGAGAGAGAGAGAGAGAGAGAGAGAGAGAGAGAGAGAGAGAGAGAGAGAGAGAGAGAGAGAGAGAGAGAGAGAGAGAGAGAGAGAGAGAGAGAAAAAAAAATTAAAAACCCCACCGGAGCGGAGGTAGTGACAACAGCACGTCAGCTCTGTCTTGTCAAATGCACCATGTCAGTTACGAAAAAAGTAACTTTAAATATTCAACCGAAAACGAGGCGAGCTGAAGAAAACCTAGGGAAAACTGAAGAAACGTGAGCAACAGTGAAGCCATCACAGCGCGATCCGTTACTGTCTGTGTGTGTGCGTGGATGAGCCGGCCGGACTGAGCTCCCGGTCGGCTAGAGAGTTTTGTAAGTAGGGAGGGGCGGGCGCTCTATGTGACTGGCCAATCACAGAGCGTGAAGACAGTCAGTTACCCAATGAAGATTTTCCTTCAGCACGATTACAGAGAATGACTCGTTTTACTAGTTTCATGCTCGTATTCATCAAAAATGCGTTATCCGTACCGGATACTCGTCTGAAATGAGTATCCGGCTTATCCCTAAAATTAGTGTTTTCACTGATAACACTAATTAATTTATATTTGATCTTGATGGTGAAACTAAAGGTGTTTAACACTGAACACCTAACATGAATGCAGCTTCTGAGAGCTAGCTAATATCAGCTAAAACTGTGTTCTGCTGCTGCTGCTCACCTTCCTTCTACTTGCTTCTGTTCAATTAACTTTTCCTCCTTCTCCTTCTTTTCTTTTCTTTTCTGGAAGCCAGATTTCCCTTTCTTGGGAAAAGACATGACTGACTCTCCTGCCTCCAGCTCTGGCTGTCGGCATCTGCGATGTCTCATTAGCACATGCAGCCGGGCAGCCCCTGGCCGCTGGTGTGGACTAAACCACTTTGCACATTTTTAAGGGGTGATAGATGCCTCAGAGATTATTCAGTTATTATTTTTAAGGCGAAATTCTGTTTCTTAACCTCTTTATCCAGGTAAAGGGAAATTTATTAAGACATTAAGTAAGTTGGGGGAAAAAAACAACAACAATAAAACATTTTTATTCAAAGCTGTCTCAGGGCCCCTCCCTGCAGTGGGCCCTGGGTAAACGGTACCCTTTCCCCCCCCAGTCCGACGCCCCTGCGTAGGACTCACGCATGCGACAAAACCGCGCACGCCTACTAGCTCACACACAGCGCGCTCTCGTCGTTCCACAGAGATAAACTTCTTGTTTTACAAACAGTAAACAAACTAATATTACAAACAGTAAACAAAATATGAAGTTGGTTCCATTTTTTGGTTCCTGTTGGAAAGGGCATTCCAACAAAACTTTTCCACTTTATTTAGCTTTAAGTATAAAACTACAACACCCCTCAAACCTGGACTATATCATTTTAAACTAATGACAGAGTCCTTAAAGCATAGTTTGCGATCTGTGAAAACCTTTATTTGATTCGTGAATATTCGTCTTGATCACATTAGAACTGGCCCAGCTCCACTCTTCTAACCAGGGGCGCCTCCAGAAAATTTTGATAGAGGTGGCCAGACGGGGCCAAAGAAATGTATGGGGTGGCACACCAAATTGGTCCTTGTAACTCTGGGAGAGTTTAGCCTGTGGCGATGTATTGCTTTGCTCCTTTATTCACTTATATTTATAATAAAAAAAGACAGCACATATCCAAAACATTTAACATAAATATATAA